TTTTCCTCTTCTCTAATGTTTGCATTTACTGCTATAAATTTCCCTGTCAGAACTGCTTTAGCTGTCCTACAAACTTTGACATACTGTATTTTCGTTTCCATTCAGTTCAGTGTATTTTCTGATACCCCTTAATATTTCTTCTTTCACTCATGGATTATTTAGAGGGTGTTGTTTAGTTTCCAAGAATTTGGAGATTTTCCTTTTATATTTCTCTTATTGATTTCTAGTTTGATTCCATTGTTGTTGGAGAATATACTCCATATAATTTCAGTTCTGCTAAATTTTTTTGTTTTTGGCTTCATCGAGCCTTAGTCGCAGCACGCGGGATCTTTTGTTACAGCGCGTGGGCTTCTCCAGTTGCATCGCACTGGCTTCTCTCTAGTTGCAACGCACAGGCTTAGTTGCCCCATGGCATGTGGGATCCTAGTTCCGCGACCAGGGATCGAACCCACATCCCCTGAATTGGAAGGCAGATGCTTAACCACTGGACCACCAGGGAAGTCCCTCAGTTCTGCTAAATTTGTTGAGGTGTTTTTATGGCCCACTATGTTGTCTGAATTGGCATTTGTTCCATGGACATTTGGAAAGAATGCATACTCTGCTGTTGTTTGGTGAAGTGTTCTATAAATGTCCATTAGATCCTGTCAGTTATAGAGTCTTTCTATATCTTTGGCAACTTTCTATCTACTTTTTTGGTCGATTATTGAGTGAAGGGCTTTGAAGCCTCCAGACGAACTGTGGGTTTGTCTATTTTTCTTTTCAGTCCTCAGTTTTGGTGTTTTTTTTTCACATATTTTGCATCTCTGTTGTTTGGTGCACGCACATTTAGAATTGCTATGTCTTCTGGGTGGATTGATCTTTTTATCATACAATGTCCCTCTCTGTCTCTAGTAATTTTCTTTGCTCTAATATATATTTTATCTGATGATAATATAGCTACTCCTGCTTTTGTTGGACATGTTTTACATGACATATCTTCTTCCATCCTTTTACTTTCAGTCTGCCTAAATCACTGTATTTGAAGTCAAGCATATAGTCGAGTCCTGTTTTTTTAATCCACTCCATCAATCTCTGTCATTTAAGTAGTATATTTAGACCATTTATATTTAATGTAACTATTGATATGTTAGGGCTTAAATCTACCATTTTATCCTTCATTTTGTTTGGCCCTATTCATTTCTCTGCTTTCTTTTTCCTGACTTCCTCTAGGTTTTTAAACCTATACTTTAAAATTCCATTTTTATTTATGTATAGTCTTTTTGATCATCTCTCTTTGTGTTTTTAGTGGTTTTTAGCCTTTTTAGTGGCTGTTTAGGTGTTATATCACTACATAACTTATCACAATCTAATGGTGTCATCATTTTACCAGTTCAAGTGAAGTGTACTTACCTCCCTTTACATCCCTTCCTTCTCTCCATGTAAAATATATAGTTATCTTAAACATTTCCTCTACATATGTTTAGAACTGCATCAGATAATATTACAAATTTTGCTTCAATCATCAAACATAATTTAGAAGACCCACGAGGAGAAGGAAAGTCTTTTATTTACCTGTATTTTTTAGTTCCATGTTCTTTCTTCGTTCCTCTTGTCTGATTCCTTCTGGTATCATTTCCTTTCTGTTTACAACTTCTTTTAGCCATTCATTTAGGATGACAGATTCTCTTAGTTCCCTTCATCTGAAAATGTTTTGATTTCTCCTTCATTCCTATAGGATATTATCACTGTATATAGGATTCTGGGGAAACAGTTCTTTTCTTTCAGCTCTTGGTAAGTGTGGTGCTACTTCCTTCTGGTCTCCATGGCTTCTGTTGAGAAATCCTCTATTATTTTGTCCTCTGTTGTTTTGTCCTCTGTTGAGAAATCCACTGTTATTTGAGTTGTTTTGCCCTCTAGGCAAAGTGTCAGTATATTCTGGCTGCTTTCAAGATTTTTTGTCTTTAAATTCAGAAGTTTAATTGTAACATATTTTGACATGGATTTCTTTGGCTTTATTTTGTGAGTTCACTGAGTTTCTTGAGTCTGTGGAGTAAGTCTTTTGCCATATTTGGGAAGTTTTCAGCCTCCCGCTTTCTCTTCTCCTTCTGGGATTCGTCAACACAACTGTGAAATCTTTTGTTGCAGCATCACATGTCCCTAGGACTTTCTTCCGTTTTTTTTCCCCCCAATCTGTTTTCTCTGTATTCTTCAGGTTGGTTGATTTCTGTTGTTCTCCCTTTAAGTTCACTGATCCTCTGTCCTCTGATAATGCCATTGAGCCCGTTTACTCAGTTTTAATTTGGGTTATTATATTTTGCAGTTTCAAAATTTCCCATTTGGTGCTTCTTTGTATCTTAATTTTTTGCAGAGACTTTCTGTGTCTTTGCTGAGACTTAATTTTTTTTTTCATGTCTCTCTCATGTTTTAATTGCTCACTGACATCATTTGATAATGGCTTCTTGAGAATCTTAGATAATTCTAACATCTTAGTGTCTATTGATTATCTTTTCTCGTTCAATCTGACGTATTCCTGGTTCTTGTTATAAGTGATTTTTCTTTTTTTTTTTAACATTGAAACCAGGACGTTTTGGGTATTATGAGATGGGATCTTGTTGAAATCTTTGTTGTAGCAAGGCTCCTCTGAACACTGCTCTGGTAGGGAGGGGCCCACCTAGTTACTCCCCGGTGGAGATGGACATTCTGGGCCCCAAAGTCTCTGTTGACATTAGGGTGGGGGAGTGGGCTAGTGCATTACCTCCCAGAGGGAATGAAAGTTTGGGCTTCCTCTTGGGCCTTCTTTGAAACCTTTGGGTGGGGTCAGAGGTCAGAGTGCACTGCAGCCTGACAAGGGTGTTGATGGGGCTGCAGTGTGTTCCGTATGTTTGGGTGGAACAGAGCAGTTACAGTCTAAAAGTTTTCTGTCCTGCGAGGCTGCCTTTCTCCTGGTCCTTTAAAGAGAGCAGCTTTTGTTGGGGCTTTTTCTGTCTACACCTGTAGAAGTTTCCACATTCTTTGCTCCAAGTCTGGGATATGGGAGCCCAAAAGGAAACCTAGGGACCTCCTTGGCTGGTTGGCTTTTTTCTCCACCCTTTGGCGTCATCTTACATTTGTTTTATATATGATATCTGGGGTTTTTAGTTGCACTTGGTGGGGGAATAGGTAGGCATATGTCTATACTACCTTCCCAGACGTCTGTAGATTTAAGTTATCAAATGACTGAAGAACTCAGAGGCAAGGCCAGCAGTTTTGAAGTTCAGTAGTAGAGCCCAAGAATGATCAGTTCACGGTGCTGGAAATGAAGAATCACACATGTGGTGAGGCCAAGGGCTCTTCATGCTGAAAGGTCACGACAAGCCCACGTTCTCCTCTGGGACACACAGGTCGTTGGTTAACTCCACAATCAAAATGTTCAAACTGTTCCCAACAGAGTGTGCACTCTTTGGATACCCCGGTTCCCTTAGCCCCCACTGCTGAGTGTTCCCATGAGCTAGGAAAAGTGTCCCCCAAATAACTCTGGTTTTCCTCCATAAACACTGAGAGCTGGGCTGTGAAGGGCCAGAGCCATGCTTTATCAGGCCCACGTGATGGCCCATCCTCATTCTTGATAGAATAACAGCAGGAAACGGGTGCATAGCTTAACCAAGCCACTCTACCATCACCACCACCACCCCAAGGTGAAAAAAAGCCAGGTTGCTTTTGTTTTAATAAAACAAAAAAAGGTTGAAAAACATAGAATTTGCTTTTAAAAGTTAAAAAAAAAAAAAGTGTCCTAGAGCATTAGATAAATAAAAGCTGTGGTTCCCAAGCCAGCTTGAATAGGATCATCCAGGGATGTTCATGGCGCATCCACGACCAATTGAGTCAAGTCCTGGCATTGGAGCCTGGAAATGTGCATTTTTACAAATCTCCCAAATTCCCTAGAGATTTGGATACACAGCTGTGTTTGCAAGCGACTGCTTGGGTCCCTTACTGGGCCCTCTGTCTTATTTACACTTAATTAGGCCAGGAAATGGGAGACTGTCTGATCTTGCACAGTCAGGTGTTAGAGACTGTGGGTGCTCGTTTCACATTTCATCCTGGCGTCTGGGATTGTGAACTGCACCTTGCCTCACTCCAGCCAATATCTTGTGGGTGGGAGCCTAACCTATAGTGTCACTGGGCAGTTTTCCTCCAAGTCTCTTCCCCTTTGATAATTATTGCAACATGAAACAAGCGCATAATGCCCTGGAAAGAGCCCCTCCGCTCCATCACGTGTTTGTCAGTTTGAAATATGCTTTCAGATGAGGAGGCACCTTGCACGTTGTGCTCAGCAAATAGCAGTGATGAGTCAGTGATAGTCGGTTCCTTAGCAATTAGTCAGTAAATACGTGTCGGTATTGGACTGGGGAGAGCGATAATCAGATCTGTGACTTACGAGCACTGTCTGGAGGATGGGTCTTTATGTGCAGTTGGAGGTCTTCCAGGAGATGGCGCCGTCCTTCATCAGAGGTGGCTGTGGAAGCCTCTGCCTGGCAGCTCTCCCGCAGGCCACTGGGCTTTCTTGGTGACTGTCCCTCACTTCTCAAGTCTCCTAGCTTCCACTCACCACATACAAAAGCCATCACCATTAAGACATATATGACCTAGTCTAGTCCAGTTCCTCATTTTCTACTTGAATTCTCTCCTTAACTGTTTTTCATTTGCTTTCTGATTGACTTACCCAGTGCCTTTTCAAACCTAAATCGCTTTGTGTCTGTGGGGCCTTGAAATACATTTTTCTCTAAATTATGAATAATTGGTGCACTGGACTAATATATGCATCATATGAATTTATTCTCCTTTACCTGTGATGCCAGTAATATACTCAGCTTCTGTTTGTTGCTAAAGTTTGTGTTTCTGGCTGTAATATAGTATTTATTTTCATACATAACAGAGGTTTTTATGATTTTGTTCTTCTTTTTTCTCTCCCCTGGGGAGTCCCTCCCCCTTTTCCTAAACTGTGGCCCCCGTATGGCTGTGCCCATCTCTCCTCACCCCCGTAGGGTTCTACGGCCTGGACGAGTCTGACCTGGACAAGGTCTTCCACCTGCCCACCACCACGTTCATCGGCGGACAGGAGTCGGCCCTTCCGCTGCGGGAGATCATCCGGCGCCTGGAGGTAAGAAAACACAAGTCGTTTCCAGAAAACTTCAGTGAACTTGCTAAAAACTTGTGTTGGCAGGAGGCCTCCAGACTAGGTTGTTTTTCTCTTGATCCTATATATTTTTTTAATGTAAGGGAAGGGGAATTGTTTTGTTCTGTTTTTTGCTATTTTGTTGATGAAATTCCATGTTTTTTTATTTTTACAATCAACCATAACAAAATGTAGACTTTGCTTCCGACTTTAAAAAATGTGTCCTGGGCTTCCCTGGTGGCGCAGTGGTTGGGAGTCCGCCTGCCGATGCAGGGGACACAGGTTCGTGCCCCGGTCCGGGAGGATCCCACATGCCACGGAGCGGCTGGGCCCGTGAGCCATGGCCACTGGGCCTGCGAGTCCGGAGCCTGTGCTCCGCAATGGGAGAGGCCACAACAGTGAGAGGCCCACGTACCAGGAAAAAAAAAAAAAAAGTGTCCTAAAGCATTAGGTAAATAAAGGGTGTCATTCCCAAGCCAACTTGAATAGGAACGCCTGGGGAGATTCCTGGCCCACCTACGACCAACTGAGTCAGCTCTGGTTTTGGAGCCTGGAAATGTGCATTTTTACAAATCTCCCAGAGATAGGGATACGCAGCTGTGTTTACAAGCGACTGCTCGAGCCCCAGGTTGTACTGATCCAGCATTTGAAAGGGGCAGAGAGCCATGCACGGCTCTCATTTCATCCAGTGCCAGAACCCAGGAGTTGGGCTGTTGTGGACCCTTGGACCTGGACTCCAGGGGTCCCAGCCATAGCACGCCCTGTCCCCAGAGGGCCCCACGTCCAGGGCTCTTCCAAGAGAGCCTACCATTCTGACTTGTCCCAGTTCGGAATACCCCTTCTCGTTGTTTACAGATATTTGTGTACACTCACCCGATGATGGTGGGTTAGGTATGTTTACACGTGACATGTGCGTGCACTGGGCGGCTGTGTGAGCTGACAGAGCTTAAGTATGTTCTTGGTCCTGTGACATAATAATCAACTTGCAGCTCTTTGAATATTTAGAGCGAGTGCAATTTCTTGGCTTCCTAACGTCTCACTAGAGAGAGAAGCTAAGAATCGGCACCTAAAACTCCCTGCCCTTTTCTCCTGGGGATTGAGCCAAGGACAGGAGAAACAAAATATGATCCAGGGGCCCAGTAACTATGTGTCCAAGTTAATAGCTAAATTCATGCTGATAATAATGGAGACATACTGTTTTTGACCTAATAATTTCCTTTGAGCCTTTAATTGTTCAGTAATGGACATACTGCCCATCAGGCATAAGGAGCACGGGCGTGTTCTCCTGCCTCCATGGGTAAAGGAGGGAGCCCCCTCCCCCTCCCCGCCTCTTCCCTCCCCACTTCCTCCCTCCCTCTCCTCTCCCCCTTTCCCTACCTTCATTCTCTTCCCCTCTCCTCCCCTCTCCCCTTCCCCTCCCCTCTCTCCCCACCCCTTCCTCTCCTCTCTGCTAGGCTTACAACTCAGACTTGGGTCCCAGGGAAGATGCGCCCTTTTTTAAGCTGATGGAGGAAGGTTCAAGGTTCATGTTAACAGACGCTGTGGCTGGGCCATGTTTTCTCAAATGTGTTTGTGTAGAAATACACTTTCTTCTGCGGCTCAGTAGATCAGGGCACTGTCACTGTACAGCTCCGGTGGAAGTGGTGACTCGCGCTGGCTCTGAAGTCAGGGAAGGCAGGCCAGCACCCCCCATCCCTGGGCTTCTTGTGCATCGTTTAAAAGTTCCCAGTTTATCACATGAGGTGTCCTCAGGGAAATATAGTTTTGGAGTTAATGAAAACACCTTAAACACCAAGGTCTTTCCCAGCTCCATTTCCTCTTTTTGTCCCTAGGCAAGATTTTCCTCCTCTTGGCTAGGATGATAGCGAGCGCGTTGTGGATGGCCATTATTTTGAGTTCAAGCAAATGTCCCTTTGTTTCATTATCATAGAATTAACATGCAGAGGTGCCCACCCCTGCTCTGGTGTCACATCTGGACCCACCACTGGGATCCCAGGTGCATCCTCACCCTGCACTGTGCCAGCCAGTTTCCATGTCTGTTGTGAAAACCAAAGGGGGTCACAGACAGAACCACCAAGCAGAACCCGGCCCTCTAAGTGCTTGGTCAGCATGACTGCTGCGAAGACGTTGAAAGGCATTTGTGGGCTCTAAAACTTATTGTCAGGATTTCCCTGGTGGCCTAGTGGTTAGGATTCAGCGGTATCACTACCGTGGCCCGGGTTTGATCCCTGGTCAGGGAACTGAGATCCCACAAGATGTGCAGCGTGGCCAATATATATATATTAATTAATTTTAAAAAATTATTTTCACACCAGGGCATTGCTTTTTAAATTCCTAAAAGCAGTGGTTAAGAATCCTCCTGCCAATGCAGGGGACATGGGTTTGAGCCCTGGTCCGGGAAGATCCCACATGCCGTGGAACAGCTAAGCCTGTGCACCACAACTACTGAGCCTGCACTCTAGAGCCCATGAGCCACAACTACTGAGCCCACGTGCCGCAACTACTGAAGCCTGCGTGCCGCAACTACTGGAGCCTGCGTGCCTAGAGCCCGTGCTCTGCAACAAGAGAAGCCACCACAACGAGAAGGCCGCACACCGCAACGAAGAGTAGCCCCAGATTGCCGCAACTAGAGAAAGCCCACACACAGCAACGAAGACCCAACGCAGCCATAAATAAATAAATAAATAAATTTTAAAAATAAATAAATAAAAGCCTGCTAACTTAAGTGGCCACTGAGCTGTGATATCCACCGGCAGCACAGGGCCTTTCTTTCTCAGGGTGGTGGGCACAGTCTGACCTTGAGGTCAGAGAACCTGTCTTCCCCAGGAGCTTCCCCGTCCCTGGGCTGGTGCTTCTGTCCTCCCGCCATGAGGGGAGCATGTCTCGGCTTAGTGGTTCTCACTGTCCCCTCCCTGCCTATTGGGCTCTGTACTCTGTGGAGGAAGTATTTCATGGCCAGGTTCGGAGTGAGAGGAGGTTGTGGGCCCAAACTTGGTACCCCAGATCACAGCTGGCTCTGTTGCATTTGAAAGGGAGGCCACCTGTTCCTGCCAGCCTTCTGGCTGAGTGGGCAGTCAACACGCCTGTGGGGACATCCCCTTGATCGTGTGTGTGTGTGTGAAAAACAGATGGCGTACTGCCAGCACATTGGGGTGGAGTTCATGTTCATCAATGACCTGGAGCAGTGCCAGTGGATCCGGCAGAAATTCGAGACGCCTGGGATCATGCAGTTCACCAACGAGGAGAAGCGGACCCTGCTGGCCCGGCTAGTGCGCTCCACCAGGTACGGGGCTGCACTGGTCCCGTCAGTGTGGCACAGCCTGTTGACAGGGGTGGGTGGGTTTGGAGCGTGACCACAGCCCCACGAGAGCAAGGTTGGCCCTGGTGACTTGGCTCTTCAGAGTGGCTTGGTTCCTGTCCAGGTTTGAGGAGTTCCTGCAGCGGAAGTGGTCATCTGAGAAGCGCTTTGGTCTCGAAGGCTGCGAGGTGCTGATTCCTGCCCTCAAGACCATCATTGACAAGTCAAGTGAGAACGGAGTGGACTACGTGATCATGGGGATGCCGCACAGGTACCTGGCTGCCCTTCATGCATCCAGAGCACGGGGTGGGGCACTAGGCAAGCAAGGAGGCTGGCTCGCCTGGAACGCACTTGCACCCCTGTCCTGGGACAGCCATCGCCACAGCATCCCCCTCCCTCAGTAGCCACTGTCACACTCAAGGCCATAGTGGTTTTAGGCAGGCATCTTGGCCTCATGCCCTTGTCGGGATCACCACTGAGGGAGGTTAACCTAGAGGGAAGGCTGCTCGGTGACGTGGAGCGGAGACCTCAGCTTGAGGCGGCAGCAGAGGCTGAGGGTGGAGCGTTCGCCGCAGGCCGGCAGTGTTTCTCCGTTTTCTACCTTTCTTCCTCCCACCTCGTCGTGGCCCTGGGTGCCGGGCAAGCAGAGGCTGAGTGTCCCATCAGCTCTGCTCTCAGCTCCTCTCGGGCTGCAAACCGAGGCACTGCCTGTCCATCGGGGGAGGAAGGGGCTAGAACAGCATTGCCTGCTGCCCGGAACACAGCTCAGGCCCTGCTCGCTCCTCTGTGTACCAGAGGGCGGCTGAACGTGCTTGCAAACGTCATCAGGAAGGAGCTGGAGCAGATTTTCTGTCAGTTCGACTCAAAGCTGGAGGCAGCTGATGAGGTGAGACACCTGATTTCTTTTAGAAACTAGCATAGCTCCGACCCACACCAGACCCTGGTTCCACTTGTTTCTCCGGAAGCACCTGGGCCTGGGATCCTCCATACCACTCACAAAGGAGGTGGCCGGTGGCCGACCTCCCGGAGAAAAGAGAGATCAGAGGCTTGGCAGCCCCCGCAGTCCTCCCCGCTGGGGTTTGGGATGTGCGCCTCTGGTTGAGGGACCTTCTCCCTGTGCCCTAGGTAGAGCCGTTCTGGGGAAAGGCCTTCCATCCTTCCAGGAATGGGGGTTCTGGGAGGAGAAATAACACAGGACAGGGCTGCCGTGAAGAGTAAGCATCTCCACGCCCAGGATGAAGACTGACTGTTTGTACCTTCAGGGTTCTGGAGACGTGAAGTACCACCTGGGCATGTATCACCGGCGGATCAACCGTGTGACCGACAGGAACATCACCCTGTCGCTGGTGGCGAACCCTTCCCACCTGGAGGCTGCCGATCCCGTGGTGATGGGCAAGACTAAAGCTGAGCAGTTTTACTGCGGGGACACCGAGGGAAAGAAGGTAAGGCCACGGGGGCTGGCCAGGGGCAGCCCTGAGGCCAGGTGGTCCAGGACCGGCTCACAGCCTCAGGCACATCCCAGACCTCATGTTTCTGGAATTTAACAAAATATTCTGAATGGATCTTGAAAGAGTGGCCATAGTATTAATAAATTAATCCGTTACAGATAATGCTTCCTTCCAAGTTGTGACCACCAGAGCTAGGTGGGGAGTAGATTGCTTTCATTGTCACCACACCCGTGGAGAAGCTAGTCTTGTACAGTATCATGGCGGACAAAGAGCCTTTGTCACTGAACAGGAGGAGAGAGTCTTAAGGAAAAGATGTGGGTGAGCCTAAAGGAGGAACTGTAAAACTGACAGATGGGGGGCTTCCCTGGTGGCGCGGTGGTTGAAAGTCCGCCTGCCGATGCAGGGGACACGGGTTCGTGCCCCGGTCCGGGAAGATCGCACATGCCGTGGAGCGGCTGGGCCTGTGAGCCATGGCCGCTGAGTCTGCGCGTCCAGAGCCTGTGCTCCGCAACGGAAGAGGCCACGGCAGTGAGAGGCCCGCGTACCGCAAAAAAAAAAAAAAATACTGATAGATGGGAGGAGAGGTGTTCGAGTTTGTAGCAGGGTGGCACCGTTTAGAGATGGAGAACAGCTCGAGTTCCGGAGGGCCCTGGTACCGGCATTTTCCAGGTGTGTGACACTGAATGTTTAATGTTGGTTGGACAGCCTACTTACGTATAGAAATCCTCAGTGGATTTTAACTGTTTGTCCTTGTTTAACCTCAAAGTAGAAGTCTGTCTGTAACAAATTGTACAGTTCTTATTACTTAATGATAACCTCAAAGCCAAGCAATAAGAAAAATCAAGTTTTTGTAATGTCTGCCTGTGCATTCTGGGGCATGTTCAAAGTCAGCATCACCACCCTACTCTCAAGCATCTCTTGTTCTTCCTAGAAATAGGGTCATATGTGAGGAAGCTAACAGAACATACACAATGTGATGTAAAGCTGCAGGTTCACTGGTAAAGAACTTCAGAAGAGGTATATGGGTGTGGAAGGAAGTGGAATGAAAGGCAGACAAATCCTCTCATCGATAGAGTAGGTAGTTGTCATATTTAATTAAAGAAACAGCAGGATTTAGGTAGACGGGAAGAAAAGGACATTCTCTGGCGATGAAAGAAGGACAAGGATGGAGGTGGGGTTGTGCTGTGGGCAGAGCAGGGAGGAGCTGGGCAGGGCAGCCTGGCCCAGGGATGCCCTGGAGAGAGGTCAGACTTTTTAGAGGTGGAACCAAGCATTAGTCTACTAGGTTCTATAATTTAAAACACTGTGAGTCTACTCGTACTGTGTTTGGACGGTTAGAGGGTAACGGGATCCCGACCAGAGGTGGCATTGGGAACAGGAAGTGGTTCCTGCACCACAAAGAGTGTGGCCCACGGGGAGGGTGTCGGGACATGAGAGTTACTTTGCTGAGCTTGGGGGCCTGGATGGTGCCTCAGAAACTCCAAGAGGGTAGAAAGTGGCTTCCTGTGCAGCCCCCGAGACCACCAGTGACACAGTGGCCGGGGACGGATAGGGAGGAAACCAGCATCAGTGACCAGTGCCTCCAGCATTTCCGCTGTCTGTGGCTGGAACCCTTGCCCAGGCATTTGGGGCCAGGGAAGGGAACAGGATTGCAGAAAACTTTGTGACATCCACGTTCATAAATTACAGACGAAAAGCCACTCCAGCATCGCTTGCTTAGAATGCTGGAGACGTCCTGAAAAGGAATGAAAGAACTAGGGAGAAGTGGTGGAGGGTGTCTAACATGCTTCAGATGATCACAGCAATCCATCCTGAGGCCAGGAGAGGCTGATTAGCCCTGTGTGGTCACCAGGCACTTGTCTGAGGGAGTGCCCTGTCCATGGGAGTGCCCTGCCTGGCGTGGACGGCCCATCCCTCCAGGCCCCTGCCCCCGCCCCTCTATCTGAGCCCACCCTTGCCCGTGCTCAGCGGGCGGGTCCAGACCCCACCAGTCCTTCACACCTGCTCTCCTGGCTACGCTTCCCAAACCCTTAGGCAATTATCTGATTTCTGTTAAACCCAGAATCCAGGGAGCTGGAGTGTTTGTTACATAACCTTCAGTGTTTCAGAAAAAAACTATGTAATTTCTATAAATGTGGCCAAGGTTGTTCTAACCTGGTGCAAGACTGAGCCTGACCCAGCTTGGCTCAGGGCTGATGTGGCCCTTGGGGCATTCATGTGGGAAAGCAGCTCCCTAGCGCCGCGGGTGGCCTGCCACGGACGGAGGCCCGCTCCTACCTGGGTCCAGATCGGGCCGCCAGGGTGTGTGATTTTAGCAAGCAGCGCTGCGCTGAGGAACACAAGGGACCGAGTGCAACCTAGCAAGGGGCACAATACAGCTTCTCCAGAAGATCAAGAGAAACAGCGTGAGGAGAGGGGAGGCTGACCCTGAGGTGCCCGACGGCAGAAGGCCGAGGTTGTACAGAGAAGGCTCTGCAGAGAAACGCACGTCCTGGCGAGCAGGAAGAGGCACCGTGTCCCCCGGTCGTTTGGGCCCTGGCAAGGCTGCAATCCTCTGAGGAGGTCCCTGCGCAGACCCGACACTTGTGTCCACTTCCACCTGTCCCAGACAGCGTCCCTGTGTCCTTCAGGGCAGGACACGTGGGGTTCTGCTAAAAAAAAAAAATCTAGATTTTTGTCCCTGAAGAGCACGTGGACCTTCTCTTCCTGGCGCTGCGGACCAGGGAGGTGACAGAAGCTGAGTAAACACAGCAAGAGGGCGTCAAGGAGCAGGGGTGGCAGGGCCGTGGGGCTGTACCAAGCAAACAGGTAATGTGCTGAGGACAGTGAGAACAGTGTCTCACGGTGTAGGAGATGTTTATAAATGCAGAAGGAGGAAGACCCAGAAAAAGGATTGGAATTGGAGGCATCACAGTTGTACAGTGTACAGATTTAGAAATCTCTGTGTACGTGAACCTGTGCATCTGGTTTTTGGCTCTGTGCTGAAAGAGCCTAGAAGTGTGATGTTTCTAGTGGTGATGAGCACACAAATACTAGTCTTCAGTGCCGTCCTCCACTGAAGGAACCAGGCTCCTCAGAGAAGTGTCTGATTCCAGGGCTGGGCAGGAACAGTGCAGCAGGGGGCTGAAATCTCTGTTGTGCCAGAAAGCACGGAGGCCCCCACGAGCCATGGGACCTGTCCAGATGGCACGGGACCCCCACGCCAAGTATGGGGCAGTGTGAGCATCCAAATAACTACAGATACTGGTCAGTTACAGCCAGTTGAATAAAACAGGAATCCGGGAGCACATATTAATACAAATAAATAAAAGTCGAGAAGGGAAAGCTTTTATGGAATGCCAGCGCGTGAAGGCAGGAGTGACACCTGGCAGCATCCCGGGGTGCCGCTCAGGCTGCTGGGTGGGTGGAGGTGTGGTAAGGAGCAAGATCTAGAAGTTCTCCTCACTGTTCTCGTTACCGAGGAGAAATGGCGAGTTTAAAGGGAGAAACACAGACTTCCTGGCGGTCTAGTGGTTAAGACTCTGCACTTCCACTGCAGGGGGTGCAGGTTCGATCCCTGGTTGAGGAACTAGGATCCCACGTGCTGCGCAGCGTGACCAAAAAAAAAAAAAAAAAAAGGGAGAAACAGACAGCTACCTGTCCGTGTGATCCAAGTCAACTTCATCCACGTGGGGTAGGCCAGCTCTGGCGTCCTCTGGTACGGAATGCACCGTTCCTGAGTCTGGTCACACAGGACCATCGGAGCCCAAGGCCTGTCCGCGACGTGGAGACGGGAGACACAATGGGCTGCTCCAGGTCGAGAGGCTAAAGAGGCGTGGCCCTAAGAGCACGTCCACGTGGGGTCTGGGCCAGCATTGCTTTCCTGATGAGAGGGTCCTGCGTGGTGGGTTCAGGGGTGGTGGGCATTGGCTCTGCAGCAGATGATGGCAGGGTGGCTGGTGTGCAGACATGGAGGGCACCCTCGTGGAGCACATTCTCAGGGGGAAGGGGGTGCTGGGGGGGCCTGGGGGGTCTTTGTGCCTTCCTGCCATTTTCTTTCTAAGTTCGAAATTATCTCAAAATACATCATTTTTTGAAAAGTGGATTGTGACTGAATCTCCAGTGTGCCTTGTGGACGTGGTGGTCAGGACCATGTCACATTTGGGGTCTCCTTTGCATGTCTGCAGGTCATGTCCATCCTTCTGCACGGGGATGCTGCGTTTGCCGGCCAGGGCATCGTGTACGAGACCTTCCACCTGAGTGACCTGCCGTCCTACACGACTCACGGCACTGTCCACGTGGTCGTCAACAACCAGGTAACCTGGGCTCCAGGCGGGCTCTGGGGTCTTTGCAGCAGAGAAGGCTGTGGAGGCCACAGCATCAATTAGACTTTCTCCTGAGGCTTCTACGCTCACATCAGCCTTACTTAGAATGACATGGTTTCATCATTTAATGCATTTGTTGTTTTCTGATTAATAAATTTGGTCAAACAGGAAACTTTCTTTAAAGTGGAGAGATTTTAATTACAGTGTTTAAGATCATGGTGTTATTTCAGAATATTTTCTTCCATATCCCCAAGCATATAGATGGCTTTCCTCTTTTAAGAAACTGGGTTCCATACACACAGTTTTATATCCACTTCTTATTTACCACAGTGTTTTCTCATGGCATTATATATTCTTAAAATATTAATTTTAATGGAAATAATTCATTATAGGTTGTTTCATAAAATAGATATTGAAAAGGTGCCAAGGAAAGAGAAAGGTCTAAAAACAACCTCTGAACTGTGTTTTAAACAGATGACCCCTTTTTGGGTAGGGGCTGAGATGCTAACAGGAATGGTCTTCAATCTGGAAGAGTACAGCAAAGATCATTCACAGGGATTGGAAGCCCAAGACACAGGGGGATTTTTTTTTTTTTAAAGAAAAAAGTTTTTCCATGAGTAGTCTCCAGAGTCAGGTGAATTCCATCCCAGGAGTTTTTTGCTTGGTTGATTGGTTGGGTTTTTTTGGTGCGGTTTTTTGGGGGTTTTTTTGATTATTTATTCTTTTTTTTAAATTAATTTATTTGTTTATTTTTGGCTGCGTTGTGTCTTCATTGCTGCACGTGGACTTTCTCTAGATGGGGCTGCTCTTCATTGTGGTGCGCGGGCTTCTCATTGCGGTGGCTGCTCTTGTTGTGGAGCACGGGCTTTAGGCACGTGGGTTTCAGTAGTTGTGGCATGTGGGCTCAGTAGTTGTGGTGCGCGGGCTCTAGAGCACAGGCTCAGTAGTTGTGGCACACGGGCTTAGTTGCTCCGTGGCATGTGGCATCATCCCAGACCAGGGCTCGAACCTGTGGTCCTTGCATTGGCAGGCGGATTCTTAACCACTGCACCACCAGGGAAGTCCCTCTCCATTTGTTTAGATTGGGTAATTTCTGTTCCATCTTTAAGTTCTCTGAGTCTTTCCTTTCTCCCTTCCATTCTGCTATAGAGCACCTCCATTCAGGTTTGGGTTTTTTCCCCTGATTTCCACCCCCCCCGGGGGGGGTTTGTTTGTTTGTTTGTTTTTTCAACTCTAAAGTTTCCACTTGGTTCTTCTTGTATCTTCTGTTTCTTTGCTGAGTTTCTATTTTTTCATGTATTTCAGGAATGTTCATAATTTTTATTGAGGTATTTTTATGAAGTTTGCTTTGAATTTTATGAATTTTAATTTTATGAAGTCTTTGTGAGGTAATTCTAAAATCTGTGTCATCTCAGTGTTGGCTTCTAATGATTGCTTTTTCTCATTCAAGCTAAGATTTTTTCTGGTTGTTGGTATAACAAGTGATTTCTTATGAAACCAGACATTTTGAGGATATGTTATGAAATTCAGAATCTTATTTAAATCTCCTGTTATAGGAGGTGTCCTCTGGACATTGCGGGTCGGGGTTGGGGGACACTTGTTACTGCCAGGTGGGGTAGGGGTCCAGGTTCCCCACCCCAGGTCTGTTGATACCCAGGGAAGGGAGGGGACAGAGGGTGGGACAAGGGTGCTTTGTTACTGCTTCCCAAGTAGCCTCCACTAATACCAGGGATGGAGCGGTTGCCTAATTACCAGAAGCCTAGGGGGGCTGCTGGGGACACCGGGCCTTTGATGGGGCAAGTGGGGGTGGCCATGGTGTTTTCTGTGGGGTTGGCTGCAGCAGGGTGATGATTGTCTAAAAATCTTCTGTACTGCTAGGTGGCCTGTTCCTGGTCTTCTGGCCAGAGAGAGCCACTTTCCTTGAAACGTCTTTTTGCTATGCCTGTTGGCGTTTCTGAGTTGCCTGCTTCCCTAGCCCTAAATCTGGGCTATATGAGGCAAAAAGATAGCCCTGGGAATGATCACAAGTCGTTCCTCGGGACCGGAGGTCCCGGCTGATCTGCTTGCTTCTGTCTGCCTTCAGTGTTTGTCTTATATATATAATGCCTTGGGTTTTTAATTGTACTTATTAGCAGGAGAAGGAGGGAAAGGTACATCTCCTCCATCTTCCTGAAGTGGAAGTCCCTATGAGCACTTTTTTCTAAGTGTAAATTCCATTTCTTTAGTAAATACAAGACTATTCAGGTTATCTGTTTCTTCTTGAGTGAGCTCTGGTTACTTCTGTCTTTCATGGAATTTTTTCATTTCATTTAAGTTGTAAAATTTATGAGCATAACATTTCCAATGTTCTCTTATTAGGGTCTGTTGTTTTATCCCTTCTTTCATTCCTAATACTGGTAATTTGTGTGTTTTCTCTTTTTCTCGGTTATATAGATTTGTTGTTGGTTTCAAAGGAACAGCTTTGGTTTCATTGCATTTTCTCTGTTGTTTTCCTGTTTTCTATTTCATTGGTTTCTGCTCTTTGTAATTTCTTTCCTTGTACTTGCTTTGGGTTTAATTTAGTCTTCTCTTTCTAGTTTCTTATTTCTCATTCATTGACTTGAAACCTTCCGTCTTGGCAATATAAACATTTAACAGTATTTCAATTTAAGAATCACATTACATGGACTTCCCTGGTGGCGCAGTGGTTGAGAGTCCACCTGCCGATGCAGGGGACACGGGTTCGTGCCCCGGTCCGGAAAGATCCCACATGCCGGGGAGCGGCTGGGCCCATGAGCCATGGCCACTGAGCCTGCGTGTCTGGAGCCTGTACTCTGCAACGGGAGAGGCCACAACAGTGAGAGGCCGACATACCACAAAAAAAAAAAAAAAAAAAAAGAATCACATTACACAAATACAGTACAGGTAAGCCTTTGGTTTGTCAAACTTCTTATGACAGAAGGTCAAGCATTTTGGTTGAACTTAAGTGAGACTGTGTCCAGAGGAGAGAGTCTTAGGATGGCATAGTGTCTGGAAAATTACCCTAAAAGGAAGCCGTGACCATGTAGCCCAGAAGATGGAAGACTCCTAGAAGCATAAGAGCTGTTTTCAAATAAATGAATGCTTCACAAAGCAAGGAATATAATGGGCAGAGTCAGCACCAATGCATAGCAGTTACCAGGAAGCAGCAGATTTCAGCTGAATGAAAAGAACTTCCAACAATCAGACCTGTTCCTTTTTTTTTTTTTTTTTTTTTTTTGCGGTACGCAGGCCTCTCACTGTTGTGACCTCTCCCGTTGCAGAGCACAGGCTCCAGACACGCAGGCTCAGCAGCCATGGCTCACGGGCCCAGCCATCTGCGACATGTGGGATCTTCCCAGACCAGGGCACGAACCCATGTCCCATGTCCCCTGCATCGGCAGGCAGACTCTCAACCACTGCGCTGCCAGGGAAGCCCCCTGTTCCTTTTTTTTTGCACCGGATAAAATTTAATAGGGTGGGGAAGACACTGAAAACGGGACAGGGAAGAAGGTGCAGAGTCCGGGTTGGGTGAGGGCCTTAGTTAGCCAAATCTGGGGCCTTCAGGCCCACCCAGCTGCATCTGCAGGTTGACGCAGTAGCCCTGCAAGCTGCAGAGCGCCCAGCACATGTGGGAGCAGGGGTAGTGGCGTGGATGGGGGCAGCCAGGGACAGAGCTGCAGGGTTGAAGGAAACAGGGCTCCAACCAGGATAGACCATTTGCCTCTCACGTCCCCTCTGGCTCTCAAACACAGCAGTTCCACTTCGTGGGGTTTTCCTACTAGTACACTCACTCCCAAATGTCTTCTTTAAAGATATCACTTGGGGAATTCCCGGGCTGTCCAGTGGTTAGGACTCGGTGCTTTCACTGCCAGGGCCAGGGTTTGATCCCTGGTCAGGGAACTAAGATCCTGCAAGACACACAGTGTGGCCCAAAATATATATATATATATATATAAAATATGTACATAATATATATGTCACTGCTGCACAATTAATATCTTAATAAAACTGGAAGAAAAAATAAATGTACAAAACTGAAATAAGTAAATAGTATGGAGGGGCATTGTGGGGAAGCTATGACTGCTGCAGCAAGACTAGAAACCAGAGTTTCTACCACTACATCAGTAGGGAGCTGGTTAAGTAGTTTATGATGTATCCATCCATGTGTTACAAGGCTTAAATGAATTAATACATAGAAATTAATATACATAAAGTGCTCAGAATAGTGCCTGGCCCATAAAGAAGCACTAATGTAAGTTAACTGCAACTGAATGTAATAAAACCATTTGAGAGAGTAGGATCTATATATACTGTTGAAATGAACTCTAAGGTACGTTAAGTGGGGAAAAGAAGTGCAGAGCAGAACGTGGAGTATAGCTGCACCTCTGTGTGTGTGTGTGAGTGGGTGGGTATGCGTACACCCACCATATGTGTTTAAAGATGAAGAAGTCAGGGACTTCCTTGATGGTCCAGTGATTAAGACTCCGAGCTCCCAGTGCAGGAGGCCTGGGTTCAATCCCTAGTTAGGGAACTAGATCCCGCATGCCACAACTAAGACCCGGCACAGCCAAATAAATAAATAAATATTTTTAAAAAATAAAAAAAATGAAGTCGGTAACAGTGGTGGATATTGGGGAGGGCAGCTGGGGGACTGAGGTCTCAAAACTTCGAAGCAGTTCACTTTCTGTGGTGTTCTAGCTGTCATGTTCATATTATGATCACTGTCTTACCTGGTCCCTACCCTCATTTCCCTATGGGGAGACCGAGACCCAGATGGACCCTGGGATTGATCAAGGTTCTCTGTAAGTGCTCATCAGAATTCTCCCTGGTACATCTTTTTTTAATGTTCTCATCAGTTTGTGACTATTTCTAATCTTTTCTTTAGTCAGTGTAATAAAGGAGTTTATGTAAAAGCAATTCATCATAAATAAATAAAGAATTCTCAGACTTCTGTAAGAACTACAGTTTTGCTAATGTTTTCTTAAATCTTTTTACTGTTTTTGATGATATCAATCATGACATGGGGCCAGTAAGATCTGTAGCAGGAAAGGAAAGACGTGCTTTGCTGAGGCTCTTGTTTCTCTAAGGACACACGTAGGATTTCCTATTCTGAATTTTTCTTCTAAGGAAGCCATCAGTTGCTAAATGCTTTTGTATAAGAATGTTTATGGGCGGGGTGGGGGGGCTTCCCTGGTGGTGCAGTGGTTAAGAATCCGCCAGCCAATGCAGGGGACATGGGTTCAAGCCCTGGTCCGGGAAGATTCCCACATGCCGTGGAGTAACTAAGCCTGTGTGCAACAACTGCTGAGCCTGCGCTCTAGAGCCCGCGAACCACACCTACTGAGCCCGTGTGCCACAACTACCAAAGCCCGTGTGCCTAGAGCCTGTGCTCCACAGCAAGAGAAGCCACCGCAACAAAAAGCCTACACACCACAATGAAGAGTGGCCCCCACTCACCACAACTAAAGAAAGCCGGGACGCAGCAAAGAATACCCAAAGCGGCCAAAAATAAAAATAAAATAAATTTTAAAAACAAAAAACAAAAAAACTTACTAAAAAAAAAAATGTTTATCGGGCTTTCCTGGTGGCGCAGTAGTTAAGAATCTGCCTGCCAATGCAGGGACACGGGTTCGAGCCCTGGTCAGGGAAGATCCCACATGCCACGGAGCAACTAAGCCCGTGCGCCACAACTACTGAGCCTGCGCTCTAGAGCCCACGGGCCACAACTACTGAAGCCCATGCACCTAGAGCCCATGCTCTGCAACAAGAGAAGCCGCCACAATGAGAAGCCCGTGCAGTGCAACGAAGAGTAGCCCCTGCTCGACGCAACTAAAGGAAGCCCATGCACAGCAACGAAGACCCGATGCAGCCAAAAATAAATAAATAAATTTATTTTTTTAAGAAAAGATTTTTCAGGGAAAAGTTAAAAAAAAAAAAAAGAATGTTTATAAAAACCAAAGAGTCTTTGTATAAATTTTGGCAAAGCCGTAGGAAGCAGTATTATATAATCATTAAAATATTTAATATCCTGGGGAAACGGTCACAACATGGGGAGTGTAAATGCAGGTTACTCATGCTGCTAGTAGGAGGGTGAGTGGTACAACCACTTTGGAGAGCACTCAGTAGTATTTAGGTGCAATGTTCTGACCCTGTAGCTTAGTTTTCCCTTACGAGTACTGCAGAGAAACTCAGTGCTTGCTGGAGAAAACCTCCGTAAGAATGTGTACAGTAACAGTGTATTAACCACAAGTTGGAAACAACTAAATGTCCAACAACAGGAGAATGGATAAATGAACTGTGGTATATACTATTCAGTACTTAGATTTCACTAAGCTCTACTACAGGAAGTAGAGGTACATGTTTCAACCTGGATGAACCATGAATATAAATATTGAACAGAAAGCAAGTTGCAAAGGATTTGCACAGCATATAGAGTATGACACCATATGTAAGGTACATAGACTATATATCTCTATGGTTTAAAAGACATGGAAATACTCTTCCAAAATGTCAGTGCTATGAAAACCCAAGAAAAGCAAGAAGGCTTCAAGATTAAAGGGGACTAGAGAGAGGTGACAACTAATGCAGGGTGATGTGCTGGGTTGGATACAGGACTGAGGCAAGAAAGACTGGGTATCGTTAGGACAATTGGTGGAATGTGTCTACTGAGGGTCAGATAACGGTATTCTGTAATATTAAATTGCTTGGGCCGAGAACTGCACTCTGGCTGGTAATGAAATGTCCATGTTTTAGGGAATAGGGACGTCTACTACTTACCTGCAAATGGTTTAGGAAAAATGTGTGTGTGTGCGTGCGTGTGTAATGGAAAGAGCATGAATAAGAAAAGGGGCAAAATGGCAACAGTTGGTGAATCTGAGTAAAGACTGTGTGGGAGTTCTCTGTATGCTTTCAACTTTTCCATAAGTCTGAATGATATCAAAATTTTAGTGAACAGTAAGCCTAAGAAGATACCATATATTGTTTATGGACACATCGAATGCATATTGCAACACGTAGAAACTATGTCCTCCACTTTCAGGGCCGTGCTCTCTGTGTGTGGGCCCGCTGTAGCAGAAATGTATAAAAAGTCCTGAAACTGTTAAGATTTGTTCATTTGGGCTTGTGAGTTCACGGGTGATCATTATAGTATTATCATACTTTCTATATGTTTGAAGTAGTCCATAAAAATAAATTTTAGGTATTTGTTTTCTTTATTTTTATTGTTTTGGTTGCGTCAGGTCTTAGCTGTGGCATGCGGGATCTTTTGTCGTGGCATGTGGGCTCTTTGTTGTGGCATGCGGGCTCCTCTCTAGTTGTGGCGTGTGGGTTTTCTCTCTCTAGTTGTGGCACGTGGGCTCTGTAGTTTGTGGCACGCAGGCTCTCTCGCTGAGGCGCGCGAGCTCAGTAGTTGTGGCTCGCGGGCTTAGTTGCCCCACAGCACATGGGATCTTAGTTCTCTGACCAGGGAATGAACCTACATCCCCTGCACTGGAAGGCGGATTCTTTACCACTGGACCACCAGGGAAATCCCCATGAAAATAAATGTTAAATGCAGGTTATAAAATTACGAATATGTGATTAAGTTTTAGTACATCTAAGTGGTGAGGCCTTTAATTTTCTTTTCAAAGAAAAAAATGCTAATGTTAAGTGACCAAAGTGCAAAACTACAGAAATGATAGGATCTGAAATTTTATATTTATATTTCATATGTATGCATGCAAAGAAAATCATCTGGAAAGGAAAACATCAAAATATTTACACTGAACCTGGTAGAATATAGTGACTTTGTTTAATTTTTCATTAAACTGTCTTCCAAACTGTTGAACATGTATGAATTTTGTTACCAGAATAGGAAAAAAAAAACAATTAAAAAAAAATAGCCTTTGGGAACTGTCTTAGAGTAGGCCAAGGGCAGCCAAGTGGCCTCCAGCAAGAGGCCTTCAGGCTCCACCCTGCCTGCCGTTAGCCCCACCCTCACCCTCAGACACATACATTCCTGCTCCTGCCCTGCCCTCGGCTCCACCCCCTGTCCTGGTTCCACCCTGCCATTGGCCTGGAGGGTGGGCCTGCTCTGCCCCGCCCCACCTCTGCCCCACCCATGCTCAGCAGCATGCCCAAGCTCCCTGGCCAAGCTGCCTGTCTCTTGCAGATCGGCTTCACCACCGACCCACGTATGGCCCGCTCCTCACCGTACCCCACCGATGTGGCCCGAGTCGTGAATGCCCCCATTTTCCACGTGAATGCGGATGACCCGGAGGCAGTCATGTACGTGTGCAAGGTGGCAGCCGAGTGGAGGAGCACCTTCCACAAGGACGTGGTGGTGGACCTGGTGAGTGACCTTAGCCCGTGTCCTGAAGAGAGGGGTCAGGGCTCCCTAGAGCCAGGGCACCTCAGTGCCCCTCCTGAGGGCTCCTGCATCTTCGGCCTGGGTGACCTGACCTGGGGAAGAAGGTAGTTGGAATCCTGTCCCCAGATAGCCCCAGGTCACTCTCGTTTCATCTCATGTGACAGTCAAAGCAATTATAGCGAGTGAAGGAGTGAGAGACAGGACCCTAATTCTAGAAGAGGTAAACTGAGGTGTCACATAGGAGAAATGGGGGCAGGTCCTCGTGGGTCCTGGGTCCCAGCCAACATGGTCCGTGATGCTGGCGTCTCCTGGCTGTGTTCAGGTGTGTTACCGACGCAATGGCCACAACGAGATGGACGAGCCCATGTTCACACAGCCGCTCATGTACAAGCAGATCCGCAAGCAGAAGCCCGTGCTGCAGAAGTACGCCGAGGTGCTGGTGTCGCAGGGCGTGGTCAACCAGCCTGAGTATGAGGTGCGTCCCCGGCTCTGGTCCCAGTGGGCCTTTCCAGAGCCAGGGAGGGATAGAGAAGGCCCACCACAGGGCAAATGCTCGCTTTCGCAGAGTAATTAGGATCCAAGTGAGAACACGTGAAATATTTACAACTATAGCATTTCGGTGCATAACTTCTTGGAGAGTCCAGGCTACTGAGGAGTTGGGTGAGGGAGGTGGGACCTGAGAGCACTTTGGCACAAGGCAGTGGCCTCCTTGGCTTACGGAGTCCAGTGCACAGGGGTGAGAGGGCGAGAGGCTGATGAGGGATCCAGCTCGTAAAGGGCCTGCTGTGACCTGGTCAGTTCTGGCTGGTTATGAGTGCGAAGGCCCGTGCAGGGTGACGGAGAAATGGAGCAGGGCTTCGTATTCAGGGGCTGTGCTCGGAGCCATGAGAACTCATCCGAAAGAATATGGTGAGAGGGTGGGCGGGGACAGGGCTCCAACTTAGAGCAGGATCTGCAGCCAGCAACTGTGGAGAAGCAGCTACGGGAATGAAAACAATAAAACGGAAGCTTCCCACAGACCTCAGGGGTGATGCGTGTTGGGAGGAGAAGGCCTGGAGGCCAGTGGAGTCTGAGGGACTCTGCACTCAGGAAGTGCAGGCGCGCACTGGCCGTGTGGCTGGCGTGCCCTGTGCAGAGTGGCCCTGACGGCTGTGTCGGGCCCGACCCTCCAGGAGGAGATCTCCAAGTATGACAAGATCTGTGAGGAGGCCTTCACCAGGTCCAAGGACGAGAAGATCTTGCACATCAAGCACTGGCTGGACTCCCCCTGGCCTGGTGAGTGAGGAACGCCACCAATGAGCCCCCTCCCCGCTCCACAACACCCTGTGGGCCCTGGACTCGGACCCCTGACTTCGGCTCTCGGTCCTGGCCACCTCTGCACAGCATCTCGCGTGTCCACGGCTCCTTGAGGAGTGGCACCTGTGCGTCAGCTTGCCCCTTCTCTGCTAGGCTTCTTCACCCTGGACGGGCAGCCCAGGAGCATGACCTGCCCCTCCACGGGCCTGACGGAGGATATTCTCGCGCACATTGGGAACGTGGCCAGCTCCGTGCCTGTGGAGAACTTCACCATTCACGGAGGTAAGGGCGCCACCCGGACCTTTGGAAGTGTTGGGCCGAGTCCAGTGCCAACTGTGTCCCAGCATGAGACCAGTCCTCGCCCACCTTAGGTCCCTGCTTCGTTCAAGGCCGGGGTGGCTGGATGAGGGAAGCCCTCGCCTCACCTCACCCCTGCCCCGGCGAGGTCCTCAGCCGGCGGAGCAGTGGAGGAAGGGATGGGATGTCACGGCCGCTCTGGCCTGGTCTCCACTCAGCTCCCTTCCCCACTCTCCCGGTGAGTCAGGACTCCCAAAAGCTTGGGCCGAAGGAAGCTCAGCTCTTGTCCCGAGAGGGGGTGCTGGGCGGCTGGTGAGCACCCTGTCTCTGCAGGGCTGAGCCGGATCCTGAAGACCCGTGGGGAGCTGGTGAAGAACAGGACGGTGGACTGGGCTCTGGCGGAGTACATGGCTTTCGGCTCCCTCCTGAAGGAGGGCATCCACATCCGGCTGAGCGGCCAGGACGTGGAGCGGGGCACTTTTAGGTAATGGTCCCGGTGCTCTTGTGGGCCCTTCAAAGCATGGGAGATGGAAAGGAAGGGCTCTGGAGTTCCTCTCCCAGAAGAAAATCCCTGCCAGGAGCAAATCATTAGATCCCATTGCTCAGACCCAGAAGCACCCTTTCCCTGCTCTGATTAGACGCTTCTGTTAAGAACGGGGCTTTGTGCTCCCCCGGCGGTGCACGGGGCTGGCTTCTGCCGCTAATCGGTGCTGTTCTCCCTCAGCCATCGCCACCACGTGCTGCACGACCAGAATGTGGACAAGAGAACCTGCATCCCCATGAACCACCTCTGGCCCAACCAGGCCCCCTACACCGTGTGCAACAGCTCACTGTCCGAGTACGGGGTCCTGGGTGAGCACCCCAGCCTGCGAGGCCCTCCTCCCTGCCGCCTCCCCGCTGCTTCCCCTGCCACCCCTTGCCCCTCCTCCCCTCCGCCCCACTCTCCCCTCCTCCCTGCAGCCCCCTTCCCGCCCACCAGCTGACTCCTGTCCGGTCTTCTCTCCCTCCCTCCTGCCCTGCAGGCTTTGAGCTGGGCTTTGCCATGGCCAGTCCTAACGCCCTGGTCCTCTGGGAGGCCCAGTTTGGTGACTTCCACAACACGGCCCAGTGCATCATCGACCAGTTCATCTGCCCGGGACAAGCCAAGTGGGTGCGGCAGAACGGCATCGTGCTGCTGCTGCCCCACGGCATGGAGGGCATGGTGAGGCCCCCGCCCCTTCCCGGCAGACCTAGAACGTGGGAAGGGCCTGCCTAGGACCCTGACCCCGAAATTGGCACCGTACAGGCTCTGCTGGTGTTCCCCACCTCCCTTGGAAGGCAAGAGGCAGGTCCTGATCCGTTACTGATGAGAAGTGGCAGTGCGGACGGGGACCTCCCAGGCTCCAGTGTTCCCTGTTCTCTTCCCTCCTCCTCCGCCAGGCCCTGTGGGGGGCTTGCTTAAGAACCGGGTTTGGAAACCAGGAGGAACCAGGAGTGCTGGGCCCTGTCCTGATGTGGAAACGCCCCCTCCACGCTCCATGTGCAGGAGGAGAAGGAATTAAACTGCCAGCAGTAAAGAGACAGTTTGGTGTTTTTCAGACCAAAATGAGCAAGTTGGTTAAGGAAGAGATGTACTGAATGCAACGGTCAGCATGGGGGAAGCTCCTGATCTGTAACTTGTGTGTCTGGTTCCAGGGTCCGGAACATTCCTCCGCCAGGCCGGAGCGGTTCCTGCAGATGTGCAATGACGACCCAGACGTCCTGCCGGTGAGTGGCACACCTGGGCGTCTGTGGGCAACTCTGAAGGCACGACTGCTCTGTGCTTCTCGGGAGTCGCAGGTGGGCCCCGAGCCTGCTGGTCTCCACAAAGTGAGAGGCCTTCTTAGAGCACAGAAGACAGTGCCGGGCTGCCTCCTGTCGTCCCTGCTGCTGTAGAAAGCAGAGGCGCTGAAAGCTACAGCAGAAGCTTCTAGGAGTGATACCGCCTGTATTTTGATTCAGGCAAACAGTTTAGAGGAAAGAACTCTGGGGTGATTCTAGTGAAATTTTAAGAGCTAAAAGGAAATTTGGGGGGTTCTGTTTCTGAGGAACATCAGAATTGGTTTTAGGTAGAACCTGTATCTGTCCCAGACCAGGCAGTAGTTTTCAGAGAAATAGGGGTTACATGGGACTGAGAATCCCATTCAGAGCGTGGGGCTGGCTGGCTGAGCTCTCGTCAGTGCCCCCTGTGTGTGCATCTCTGGAGGAGCTGTGGCACCCTAAGGCTGCAGCCGTGAGGCCCTCTGCCTTGATGCCCCCTGCGACGGGGTGCTCAGTGCCGCCTGGCCTCTGGCCCTTTCCCTCCTTGCTCCAGGACCTTAAGGAAGCCAACTTCGACATAAATCAGCTGTACGATTGCAACTGGGTTGTCGTCAACTGCTCCACCCCTGGCAACTTCTTCCACGTGCTGCGTCGCCAGATTCTCCTTCCCTTCCGGAAGCCGGTCAGTTGGGGGTGTCCCAGCTCAGAGAGGCCTGGCCTGAGAACTCCAGGGCCCCAGCCCAATGGGAGGATGGACTTGTGGGCGGGTGGTCGTAGATGGTGCGTTGAGCTTGGAGGAGAGCTGAGCCCCCAGGAAGCAGTCTCCTTGGTGAGGTGTGGAAGGGTGAGTAGGAGTGTGAGTGAAGGGTCCAAGGGGAGAATGCCCCCTGCTGCTGCCGGCCACAGTGCAGGGCCAGGCAGGCCCACGGGACAGGACAGCCCTGGCCACAGGCAAGGACGTCAGGAAAGGCTCAGGGGTCTTCCCCAGGTATAGGGTAGGGGGCACCCAGGGCTCCGAGCAGGCTGGGACAGACCCTGGAGGAGTGGATGCCCAGTGTCTCAGGGCGGAGGAGAGGGGACGAGGGGAAACCGCATCGTTCTGTTTTCCTTCTCTTCACCTCTACCCTGCGGATCCCGCTGACCTGACCGTAGAGCTGGGAGGGCAGCATTAGATGCCTGTTCTGAAGGCGAGGCCTGGGCAGCCCCTTGCTGTCGGCCCTCCTTCTGGAATCCTTAGAACCTGAGCCTGTGCTGCTGTGTTTCAGTTAATCATCTTCACCCCCAAGTCCCTGCTGCGGCACCCTGAGGCCAGATCCAGCTTTGACGAGATGCTTCCAGGTAGGCTTGAGGGGGGTGAGCATTTGGAGTGGGTCTTCACTGCTACTCTGGGGGGGGCTTATCCTTGTCAGTCTCACTCTGGTCCTTGCCACAGTTTTTGGTTGTTGGGTAAAGACCACTGAACACGACAGCCTGGATGTCAGAGCTCATGTGCAAATTGGTCAAACAGCATGTCTCGCGTCCCACTGGGGTCTGTGACCCCTGCCTGGGTGCACCCCCGCAGGACTCTTTCAGAGGCAGTGAAGTGAGTCTGAGGTTAGAGTTCACGCTGCTGCCTGGGCACTGCTCCTGGGGGGCTGATGGCAGCTCACCGCCAGGAAAAGAGGAGAAGCACCGGTGGGTAGGGGCTGCCACGTAACATGGCAGCTCAGTGGTGTGAGGTGAGGCCCACAGCACTGAGATTTCCCCCCGGACAGCAGACATCAGGTGGCTGACAGCACACGGTGGCCCCACACAACCCCGGACTTACAGGGCCAGGGGAGGCCACTTGCTCCCAGCCATGGAGCCCCCTTTAATCTTCGGTCAAGGTAAACCCCTTCTTTGGTTTTTTTCCCATTTTTTTTTATTATGGTGAAATATACATAATATAAAATTTACCATCTTAGCCATTTTTAAGTGTACAGTTCAGTGGCATTAATAAACACATTCACGTCATTGTGCAACCATCAACCCCGTCCATCCCCAGAACTCCCCCATCACCACCCCTCCCCCAGCCCCTGGCACCCACCGTTCTGCTTTCTGTCTCTGTGGGTTTGGCTGCTCTAGGAGCTGCATGTTAGTGGGCTCATACAGTATGTGTCTTTATGTGACGGGCTTATTTCACTCAGCACAGTATCCTCAAGTTTCATCCATGTTGTAGCAGGTGTCAGAATTTCCTTCGTTTCTAAGGCTGAATAAGGTTCTGTTGTATTTTTATACCACTTTTTGCTTATCTATTCATCTGTCAGTGGACACTTGGGTTACCTCCACATTTTAGCCATTGGGGATAATGGCTAAAATCATTAGCCATTATGGCTAAAATTATTAGTACACCTATGAACATGGGTGTACAAATCTCTCTTCGAGACCCTGCTTTCAATTCCTTTGGGTATATACCAAGAAGCAGATTGCTGGGTCATATGGTAATTCTTCAGGCATACCATACCGTTTTCCATACTGGTTCACAGCAATACACGAGGATTCCAGTTTCTCTACATTCTTGCCAACACTACTGTTTTCTGTTTTTGTTTTCTTGGTTTTTGTTTTTGTTTCATAATAGCCATCCTTGTGACCATGAAGTAGTATCTCATCGCAGTTTTGATTTTTGTTAACCTAATGATCAGTGATGTTGAGCGTCTTTTCATGTGCTTATTGGCCATCTGTATGTTATCTTTGGAAAAATGTTTAATCAAGTCCTTGCCCATTTTTTAATTGGGTTGTTTGTTTTGTTGTTGGGTTGTAAGATTTCTCTCTGTTCACTGGATACTGATGCCTTATCAGCTATGTGACTTGCAGCTATTTTCTTCCATCTGTGTGGAGTCTTTTTTTTTCCAGGCCTGTTTGTGTGTGTGTTTGTTTGTTTATTTGCTGCACCACACGGCATGTGGAATCCTGGTTCCCCAACCAGGGATCAAACCCGTGCCCCTTGCATTGGGAGTGTGGAGTCTTAACCACTGGACCACCAGGGAAGTCCCTGTGTGTTGTCTTTGGATGCACAAAATTTTTAAATTTTCATGAAGTCCACTTTTTCTCTTCTTTTTGTTCTTGTCTGTGCCTTTGGAGTCACATCTAAGAAATCACTGCCAAATTCAATGTCATGAAGCTTTTTTTTTTTAATAAATTTATTTATTTTTGGCTGCCTTGGGTCTTCGTTGCTGCGCGCAGGCTTTCTCTAGTTGCAGTGAGCGGGAGCTACTCTTCATTGTGGTGCGCGGGCTTCTCATTGTGGTGGCTTCTCTTGTTGTGGAGCACAGGCTCTAGGTACATGGGCTTCAGTAGTTGTGGCGCGTGGGCTTAATAGTTGTAGCGCACGAGCTCTAGAGCGCAGGCTCAGTAGTTGTGGCACATGGGCTTAGTTGGTCCGCTGCATGTGGGATCTTCCGGACCAGGGATCGAACCCCTGTCACCTGCATTGGCAGGCGGATTCTTAACCGCTGTGCCACCAGGGAAGTCCCAATGTCATGAAGCTTTTGCCGCATGTTTTCTAGTTCTGTAAAACATGCCGTTGGTAATTTGATAGGGATTGCATTGAATCTGTAGATTGCTTTGGGTAGTATGGACATTTTCACAATATTGATTCTTCCAATTCAAGAACATGGTATATCTCTCCATCTTTTTGTGTCCTCTTTGATTTCTTTCATCAGTGTCTTATAGGTTTCTGAGTACAGGTCTTTTGTCTCCTTAGGTAGGTTTATTCCTAGATATTTTATTCTTTTTGTTGCAATGGTGAATGGGATTGTTTCCTTAATGTCTCTTTCTGATCTTTCGTTGTTAGTGTATAGGAATGCAAGAGATATCTGTGCATTAATTTTGTATCCTGCAACTTTACCAAATTCATTGATTAACTCTAGTAGTTTTCTGGTGGCATCTTTAGGATTCTCTATGTATAGTATCATATCATCTGCAAACAGTGACAATTTTACTTCTTCGTTTCCAATTTGTATTCCTTTTATTTCTCTTTTTTCTCTGATTGCCGTGGCTAGGACTTCCAAAACCATGTTGAATAGTAGTGGCGAGAGTGGGCAACCTTGTCTTCTTCCTGATCTTAGAGGAAATGCTTTCAGTTTTTCACCATTGAGAATGATGTTAGCTGTGGGTTTGTCATATATGGTCTTTATTATGTTGAGGTAGGTTCCCTCTATGCCCACTTTCTGGAGAGTTTTTATCATAAGTGGGTGTTGAATTTTGTCAAAAGCTTTTTTCTGCATCTATTGAGATGATCATATGGTTTTTATTCTTCAATTTGTTAATATGGTGTATCACATTGATTGATTTGCGTATATTGAAGAATCCTTGCATCCCTGGGATAAATCCCACTTGATCATGGTATATGATCCTTTTAATGTGTTGGTGGATTCTGTTTGCTAGTATTTTGTTGAGGATTTTTGCATCTATATTCATCAGTGATATTGGTCTGAAATTTTCTTTTTTTGTAGTATATTTGTCTCGTTTTGGTATCAGGGTGATGGTGGCCTCACAGAATGAGTTTGGGAGTGTTACTCTAAGTGTTTGATAGAATTCACCTGTGAAGCCATCTGGTCCTGGACTTTTGTTTGTTGGAAGATTTTCAATCAAGGTTTCAATTTCATTACTTGTGATTGGTCTGTTCATATTTTCTGTTTCTTCCTGGTTCAGTCTTGGAAGGTTATACCTTTCTAAGAGTTTGTCCATTTCTTCCAGGTTGTCCATTTTATTGGCATAGAGTTGCTTGCAGTAGTCTATTATGATGCTTTGTAGTTCTGTGGTGTCCGTTGTAAATTCTCCTTTTTGATTTCTAATTTTATTGATTTGAGTCCTCCCCCTCTTTTTCTTGATGAGTCTGGCTAATGGTTTATCAATTTTGTTTATCTTCTCAAAGAACCAGCTTTTAGTTTTATTGATCTTTGCTATTGTTTTCTTTGTTTCTATTTCATTTATTTCTGCTCTGATCTTTATGATTTCTTTCCTTCTAATAACTTTGGGTTTTGTTTGTTCTTCTTTCTCCAGTTCCTTTAGGTGTAAGGTTAGATTGTTTATTTGAGGTTTTTCTTGTTTCTTGAGGTAGGCTTGTATAGCTATAAACGTTCCTCTCAGAACTGCTTTTGCTGCCTCCCATAGGTTTTGGATCGTCATGTTTTCATTGTAATTTGTCTCTAGGTATTTTTTGGTTTCCTCTTTGATTTCTTCAGTGACCTCTTGGTTATTTAATAATGTATTGTTTAGCCTCCATGTGTTTGTGTTTTTTACATTTTTTTCCCTGTAATTGATTTCTTACCTCATAGCATTGTGGCTGGAAAAGATGCTTGATATGATTTCCGTTTTCCTAAATTTACTGAGGCTTGATTTGTGACCCAAGATGTGATCTGTCCTGGAGAATGTTCCATGTGCACTTGAGAAGAAAGTGTAATCTGCTGTTTTTGGATGGAATGTCCTATAAATATCAATTAAGTCTATCTGGTTTACTGTGTCATTTAAAGCTTGTGTTTCCTTATTAATTTTCTGTCTGGATGATCTTTCCATTGGCGTAACTGAGGTGTTAAAGTCCCCCACTATTATTGTTTACTGTCTATTTCCTCTTTTATAGCTGTTAGCAGTTGCCTTATGTATTGAGGTGCTCCTATGTTGGGTGCATATATATTTATAATTGTTGTATCTTCTTCTTGGATTGATCCCTTGATCATTATGTAGTGTCCTTCCTTGTCTCTTGTAACATTCTTTATTTTAAAGTCTATTTTATCTGATATGAGTATTGCTGCTCTGGCTTTCTTTGATTTACCTTTGCATGGAATATCTTTTTCCATCCCCTCACTTTCAGTCTGTATGTGTCCCTGGGTCTGAAGTGGGTCTCTTTTACACAGCATATGTCTAAAAGCCTGTGTCTTTTGGTTGGAGTATTTAATCCATTCATGTGTAAGGTAATTATCGATATGTATGTTCCTATTACCATTTTCTTGTTATGGGTTTATTTTTGTAGGTCCTTTTCTTGTCCTGTGTTTCCCACTTAGAGAAGTTTCTTTAGCATTTGTTGTAGAGCTGGTTTGTTGGTGCTGAATTCTCACAGCTTTTGCTTGTCTGTAAAGCTTTTGATTTCTCCATCGAATCTGAATGAGATCCTTGCCGGGTAGAGTAATCTTGGTTGTAAGTTCTTCCCCTTCATCACTTTAAATATATCATGCCACTCCCTTCTGGCTTGTAGAGTGTCTGCTGAGAAATCAGCTGTTAACCTTATGGGAGTTCCCTTGTATGTTTTTTGTCGTTTTCCCTTGTTGCTTTCAATAATTTTTCTTTGTCTTTAATTTTTGTCAGTTTGATTACTATGTGTCTCGACGTGTTTCTCCTTGGGTTTATCCTGCCTGGGCCTCTCTGTGCTTCTTGGACTTGGAAGTTTTTGACTATAATCTCTTCAAATATTTTCTCGGGTCCTTTCTCTCTCTCTTCTCCTTCTGGGACCCCTATAATGTGAATGTTGTTGTGTTTAATGATGTCCCAGAGGTCTCTTAGGCTGTCTTCATTTCTTTTCATTCTTTTTTCTTTCTTCTGTTCCATGGCAGTGAATTCCACCATTCTGTCTTCCAGGTCACTTATCCGTTCTTCTGCCTCAGTTATTCTGCTATTGATTCCTTCTAGTGTATTTTTCATTTCAGTTATTGTATTGTTCATCTCTTTTTGTTTGTTCTTTAATTCTTCTAGGTCTTTGTTCTTTAATTCTTCTAGGTCTTTGTTAAACAGTTCTTGTATCTTCTCAATCTTTGCCTCCATTCTTTTCCGAGGTCCTGGATCATCTTCACTATCATTATTCTGAATTCTTTTTCTGCAAGGTTGCCTATCTCCAGTTCATTCATTTGTTTTTCTTGGATTTTATCTTGTTCCTTCATCTGGTACAAAGTCCTCTGCCTTTTCATTTTGTCTGTCTTTCTGTGAATGTGGTTTTCCTTCCACAGGCTGCAGGATTGTAGTTCTTCTTGCTTCTGCTGTCTGCCCTCTGGTGGATGAGGCTACTTAAGAGGCTTGTGCAAGTTTCCTGATGGGAGGGACTGGTGGTGGGTAGAGCTGGGTGTTGCTCTGGTGGAAGACTCAGTGAAACTTTAATCCGCTTGTCTGCTGATGGGTGAGGCTGGTATCCCTCCCTGTTGGTTGTTTGGCCTGAGGTGACCCAGCACTGGAGCCTACTGGCCCTTTGGTGGGGCTAATGGCGCCAAGGAGTACTTCCCAGAACTTCTGCCAGTTTTTTTGTCCCCACGGTGAGCCACAGCCACACCCTGCCTCTGCAGGAGACCCTCCAACAGTAGCATGTAGGTCTGGTTCAGTCTCCTAGGGGTTACTGCTCCTTCCCCTGGGTCCTGATGCACACACTACTTTGTGTGTGCCCTCCAAGAGTGGAGTCTCTGTTTCCCCCAGTCCTGTCGAAGTCCTGCAGTCAAATCCCACTAGCCTTCAAAGTCTGATTCTCTAGGAATTCCTCCTCCCGTTGCCGGACCCCCAGGTTGGGAAGCCTGATGTGGGTCTCAGAACCTTCACTCCAGTGGATGGACTTCTGTGGTATAATTGTTCTCCAGTTTGTGAGTCACCTACCCAGCGGTTGTGGGATTTGATTTTATTGTGATTGCGCCCCTCCTGCCATCTCTTTGCGGCTTCTCCTTTGTCCTTGGATATGGGCTATCTTTTTTGGTGAGTTCCAGTGTCTTCCTGTCGATGATTGTTCAGCAGTTAGTTGTGATTCTGGTGCTCTCACAAGAGGGAGTGAGCGCACTTCCTTCTACTCTTCCATCTTGAACCAATCTCCGCATGTTTTCTTCTAAGTTTTATAATTTCAGTCTTGTGTTTAGTCTTTAATCCATTTTGAGTTAGTGTGTCTGTATGGTGTAAGGGTACAGCTTCCTTTGCATGTGGATATCCAGTTTTCCCAGCACCATTTGTTGAAGAGACTCTCCTTTCCCCATTGAATAGTCTTGGTTCCCTTGTCAAAATCATTTGACCATATACGTGAAGGTTCATTTCTGGTCCCTCTGTTGTCTTCCATTGGTCTATATATGTCTTTATGCCAGTACCACTTTGATCTTGTAGCTTTGTAGTAAGTTTTGAAATCAGGAAGCATGAGTCCTCCAGCTTTGTTTTTCTTTTTTCAAGATAGTTTTGGCTATTCAGGGTCCTTTGGGATTCCATGAATTTTAAGGTAGACTTTTCTATTTCTGAAAAAATGTCATTGGGATTTTTTTTTTAAGACGTATTATTTATTTAGGCTGTGTTGGGTCTTTGTTGCTGCACACGGGCTTTCTCTAATTGCGGCGAGCGGGGGCTACTCTTCGTTGTGCTGAGCGGGCTTCTCATTGCGGTGGCTTCTCTTGTTTCGGAGCACGGGCTCTAAGAGCATGGGCTTCCGTAGTTGCAGCACGCGGGCTCAGTAGTTGTGGCTCTCGGGCTCTAGAGCGCAGGCTCAGTAGTTGTGGCTCACGGGCTTAGTTGCTCCACAGCATGTGGGATCTTTCCAGACCAGGGCTCGAACCCACGTCCCCTGCATTGGCAGGCGGATCTTAACCACTGCACCACCAGGGAAGTCCCTGTCATTGGGATTTTGATAAGGATTGCGTTGAATCTGTAGATTGCTTTGATAATATTAACATCATGGCAATATTAAGTCTCCCGATCCATGAACATGGATGACTTCCCATTTATTGGTATCTTCTTTAATTTCTCTCAGTAATGTTCTATAGTTTTCAGTGTACAAGTCTTTCATTTTCTTGGTTAAGTTTATTCCTAAGTAATTTTATTTATTTGATGCTGTTTTGAACGGGATTTTTTTTCTTAACTTTTGGATTGTTCATAGAAATACAACTGAATTCTGAGTGTTGATTTTCTATCCTGTAACTTTGCTGAATTCATTTATTAGTTCTAACAGGGTTTTTTTGTATGTGGAATCTTTAGGGTTTTCTACATGTAAAACAAACAGATAATTTTATTTGTTCCTTTCCAATTTAGATACTTCTTAGTTCTTTTTTTTTTTCCCCCCTAATTGCTCTGGCTAGAAATTCCAGTGCTATGCTGAATAGAAGTGGTGAGAACGGACATCCTTGCCTTGTTTGTGTCTTAGGAAAATGCTTTCAGTCTTTCACCATTGAGTATGATGTTCGCGGTGGGTCTCTCATATCTGGCCTTTCTCAGGTGAAGGTAGTTTCCTTCTAATCCTAGCATTTGCGTGCATACGTGAATGTGAGCATGTTGTGTGTTGCTTATGTGTCATTAAGGGAACCCCTCATTTTGAATGCAGCTTCCTGAAGTCGGCCTTGTTCGCAGGGGAATGGTCCCGGCCGTGAGCATCTGAGTATTTGCTCTAGTTTCCAGTGTGGCAAGTTTTAGTATTTGTAAACTCATGAGGAGTCTGAGCAGAGTGGTCATGGGATGGTCTTCTAGACCTAGTTGTCCCTGAAGTCTGAGGTAGGTTGTTCTGAAGAATGAACTGATGTCCCTTGCTCCTCAAGGCTGGCCTTGCCTACTGTGCCGGTTAGGCTCTCTCAGTGTGGATTAATGCAAGGGCATCACAGGCTGGCGAGTGGGGGAGAGCCCTAACCCTCAGAAACTAAATGTTCTGGTGTCAGTTGTGGCACAGCCCCACCTCGTGGAGGGAGGGCCCTGGACACCCTCAGCCAAGTCCTGAGCAGACCCCCAGCTGTGGGGATTCTCTCGTAGGTACCCACTTCCAGCGGGTGATCCCAGAAGATGGCCCTGCAGCCCAAAACCCAGAAAACGTCAAGAGACTTCTCTTCTGTACCGGCAAAGTGTACTATGATCTTACCCGAGAGCGCAAAGCACGGGATATGGCAGAGCAAGTGGCCATCACGAGGATCGAGCAGGTGAGGGCAGGTGGTGCCCAGGCCGGTCCTGGCGTTCCTCCTCTGGGTGTCTGGACCCCAGAGCTTTCCCAGAGTTTCCAGAACATCCTTCAGGGGTCACTGAGCTCCTCACCTGGGACGCCAGCCCCTCTAGGACACCAGCCTCGCCCAGTACTCTGAGCACCTTCTCCTGACAGGAGCTCCTCTCTCTCTCCCCAGCTGTCGCCCTTCCCCTTCGACCTCCTGCTGCAGGAGGTGCAGAAGTACCCCAGCGCCGAGCTGGCCTGGTGCCAGGAGGAGCACAAGAACCAAGGCTACTACGACTACGTGAAGCCCAGGCTGCGGACCACCATCAACCGCGCCAAGCCTGTGTGGTAAGGTCGCGGGCAGTCGGCTGGGGCCCGGGGAGGGCAAGGGGGCCCGGGCCCCTCGGGGGCCTTCGCCATCACCGCGCACTGTTGCTCCCCTCAGGTACGCCGGCCGGGACCCAGCAGCGGCTCCAGCCACCGGCAACAAGAAGACCCACCTCACGGAGCTGCAGCGCCTCCTGGACACGGCCTTCGACCTGGACGCCTTCAAGAAGTTCTCGTAGATGCTGCCTGGGCTCCGCCTCACGACCGCCCCTTGCTTCTCCACTACAGAATAGTGCTCCACGCTGCCCCCGCCTCTGCCCATCCCTGCACCACACACACCCCCTCCTCGCTCACTTAGGAATTAAGCCGCTCCCCCACGTGCTCGGCTGCCCCCAGGCCAGGTGCTCCCCAGGCTCTGTGACTTCTGTCCAGCTGAGCAACCTTCATGGAGGCAGTGGAGAGCGGGAGGAGGAGAGGCAGCCCCCGCAGGAGTCCTGGGAGGGTTACATCTGCCCTCACCCCCGGATCACCCCCCAGGGCCCGCCTCATGTGGCACACCCTTGTGCTGGCGGTCCCTGTCACCCAGCAGGGTGGCTTCCTCTCCTCAGGCTGAGCCCAGACCCCTCAGAGGAGCCACCACGGTCAGAGGCTTTGTGGGGTGGGAGGGCTCTGTCAGGACCCTTGCCACGCAGTGAGCAGAGGGCACTGTCGCGGGCTGGCTGGTGGGAGACGGCCCAAGACTGACCTGCACAGAGAGGGCGGGTCTGCTCTCCTCAGCGTCCACTTCCTCCCCTCGAGAGGGTCCCAGGCCGTGCACACTCCACCCGCCTGGAGCTGGGTGGCCCCCCGGGCCCGTGGGGTGTGCGTGGCGGGAAGCGCCACTCGGGGCTCTCGGGCGCAGGCGCAGCCTGCTCATCTGGGTCCTGCCCTCCCTTAACCTCCAGTTCCACCTCCTTTCCTCTTTCCTTCTACACGATGGAGACTCCGAAGCATCCTTCTCTCTGCTGTGCCAAAGCTGGTCTGAAGGGGAGAGGAGGGCCAGGAGTGAGGGGCAGCACTAGGCCGGGGGCCAGCTCCCCTGACCTGTCACAGGGACAGATCTGATTTATTTATTTTGGTTAAAAAAAAAAAATAACGAAAACAACTTTGCATTGCATTTGGCTTGACCCATAAACTAAGTTATCCTTGGGCCTGTGTGGTGTCATTCTTTCTGCTCCGCCCTGCCTGGGAAGCAGCCCCTCCTCGCTGCAGGGCCTGTGTGCCTGCGGGGCAGCACAGGGGTGGCGGCGGCGCCGCCTCCTCCCTCCTGGCCTCGCCGTCATCGTTGCAGACTGTGTTGGACACACCCTGGTTTCTGAGTGTCCCCTGCTCCCAGGTCCCCCAACACTCCACCTAAAATAGTACTCTGCAGTCTGTGCTTCAGCCAGCGTGGGTGGTGGGCTCGCCCTGGGACGTTGCTAGCAGTCTCCAGGAGCCCAAGTAGCTCATTGGACCTCTGGAGGGGAGCTGGCCGTGCCAGCTGAGCCCTTATGAGGCCGTGTCCCCTCTTGACAAGAGCCCCACTGCCTTCAGCCCACAGGACGCCAGCCTTGGTTTTCTGGGGGTTCTAGAGGTCCCGGCACTGAAAAAGAGCTCAGGAAAAGGCCTGGGTGTGGACATGGGGGTACCCTCCAGCAGTGGGGCCCCCTGCCGTTCACCCCATCCTTTGGGCCACACCCGGGTCCCTTGTCCTTGAAGGCTTTTCAGAATGTCTTCATTTTGTCCTGTGGCTTGCCCAAGAGTCTTCCGGGCCTGGCATGCCTTGGGCAGGTAGCGGCAGGGGAAAAGCTGTCACCTGCCCCTGTGCTCCTGTGTGTGCTCCAAAACCAGCACCCTGTCCCCGTGTCTGATACGGTCAGACAGGCAGATTAGAGCTAAAAGGCAAAAAAGGAGTCAGGAGCCCCTTTCCCTGGAGAGAATTCTGGCGCTCTAAGGGGGCAGCTGTCCCCATCCTGCACTCTGTGTGGTGAGTTAGGGTTCCGCTCTTACCCCGAGGCAGAGCACATCGGGGTGAGACACGAGATGGAAGTTCGCCCTCACCTCTTGCTGCTTCTAATCTGGTCGGTGGGTACAGGGGAGCCAACAGCCCAAGGGGGTCTGGGCACTTCCTGGTGGGGTACCTGAGGGAGTCCAGGGCTCCCAGGAGCCACTGGCCCATCTGCAGGAGCCGAGGCAAGGGACAGGGCGAGGGACTTGGGTCTCTCCCACTCCCACAGCTCTGCGTGGGTCTGCAGATGAGGGGCAATCAGGCCACGCTGGGCCACCCGCCAGACAAACGCTTCTCTGGTCAGCTCTGTTCTGCTATGGTTCTCAGTCGCCCCTTTCCTAAAACGAAAAGAGCAATGGTGAGAAGGAAGAAGCCTCACAGTCTAGGACAGCAGCCTATATGCTTAGACTTCCAGAGGACCCGGACCAGTGTGTGAGAGCATGCATGTGTGGGCATGTCAGTGTGTGCACGTGCGTGTGTGTGCACGTGCGTGTGTGTGTGCGCGCGCACGAGAGTGCCTGGGCCACTTGACGTGGATTCCTGGCCTTTCTGGATATTAAAGGCCCATCTGGGCTTCCCTGGTGGCGCAGTGGTTGAGAGTCCGCCTGCCGATGCAGGGGACACAGGTTCGTGCCCCGGTCCGGGAAGATCCCACATGCCGTGGAGCGGCTGGGCCCGTGAGCCATGGCCGCTGAGCCTGTGCGTCCGGAGCCTGTGCTCCGCAACGCGAGAGGCCACAACAGTGAGAGGCCCGCGTACCGCAAAAAAACAAAAACAAACAAAAAAACCCACGATATTGGTGCTCTACCCTGCTTGATTGGTTTCACTTTCCTATTGCCTATAAGGAAAATCATGAAGCACCTATCAAATAAATTAGGCAGTCATCAAGAGTATTTTAAAGAATTTTAAATAGTTTTTACCAAATCTACAAATAATGCATCCATCCTTACAGTTTGGCTCATTCCTTCCTATCATTTTTTAATGCCTTTAAAAATACTTTTTTTAGATTTCCCAGCTAACGCTGGGAAATCTAATTTGACACATTCCTTTATTTCTATCTACACACACTTAGTTGTTTTGGTTTAATCATGTGAGCTTAGTTGCTGACCTCATGACCCTTCACCTTAAATACTTCTCCTTGACAGTCTCCTAAGAAGAAAGGCATTTTCCAAGCCCACAATGCAGCCATCACTCTCAGGGAATTTCACATCCATTCAATGCTATTATCTCATCTCTGGCCCTTATTCAAATTTCCCTAAGTGTCCCAATAATGTCTTTTTTTTTTTTTTACCCTCTTCTCTCTTTTTAAAAATTTATTTATTTATTTATTTTTGGCTGTGTTAGGTCTTCGTTGCTGCGCACGGGCTTTCTCTAGTTGCAGAGAGCAGGGGCTACTCTTCGTTGCCGTGCGCAGGCTTCTCGTTGCGGTGGCTTCTCTTGTTGTGGAGCACGGGCTCTAGGTGCGCAGGCTCCAGTAGTTGTGGCTCGCGGGGTTTAGAGCACAGGTTCAGTAGTTGTGGCGCACGGGCTTAGTTGCTCTGCGGCATGTGGGATCTTGCCGGACCAGGGCTTGAACCCACGTCCCCTGCATTAGCAGGTGGATTCTTAACCACTGCGCCACCAGGGAAGCCCCCCCAATAATGTCTTTTTCTTCCATCCAGAGTCCAATCAAGGATCATGGCACTGCATTTACTTCTTGGTCTTTCTGGTGTCCTTGAAATAGAGCAGGACCCTGTGGGGCCCTCTAGGGTACAAAAGCCTTTGCATGTCCCCCGTTTCTTATTTATAGGAAAAAGGCTTCAGCCTCCTAGACCTTCCCTGAGTTCCAAAGGGCAGATTCAAACAGTTACTAATTATGGGAGTGAATGAATGCAGAAACAAAGGAAAGGCAGTCAAGAATTTCTCATGATTCGATTCAGGTTGAACCTTTCTGGCTGGAACTTCCAAATGCAGTTTTCTGTATCAACACTGAGCATCGCACCAAGGGCATAGGATGTCAGCTGGTCCCACACTTGGTGATGCTGACTTGGTTAAGGTAGTGTCTGATCCATGTCTTTATTGTAAAGGTACCTTTCTCTACTCATAATGATTAGTGGCTTGTGGAAGATTGTCTGCTCCATAAATGTTTTTTACCAGCTAGCATCATACAACTTTGTATCCTATTTTTCTTTTCTATTCTTTCTTTCTTTCTTTCTTTCTTTCTTTCTTTCTTTCTTTCTTGCTTTCTTGCTTTCTTGCTTTCTTTCTTTCGGCCATGATCCCACGGCATGTGGGATCTTAGTTCCCCGACCAGGGATAGAACCCGTGCCCCCTGCAGTGGAAGTGTGGAGTCTTAACCACCGGACCACCAGGGAAGTCCCTCTCATACCTTTAAATATTTCAAAAACATGATTTTGGGTGCTGCATAAATTCCAGCCTATGGGGGTGTTTTACTAAACTATTACCTAGGAGAATTGAACTATTGGCTTACTAATGAATGCTCCACAACAGTGGGATTTTTGTCTGTTTTACTAGCTGCCACATTTCCTGCACTGAGAACAGTGTCTGGCAAATAGAAGCTCAACAAAAGTTTGTTGAATGAATGAATACAGCTTGTGTCTAATTTTTCAATATCATAGATAATGCCACAGCAAGCATCCTTTTATATAAATCTTTGCAGCGTTTATTTTATGAGGATCACAGATAATGATAATAAGAAGGGAAATGTTTGTTAATAGAGTGAAAAAATAAGGATGCAAAACCACATAAAGGCTATAATCTCCAAACCACACAGATATGTAGAGAGAACCATCAGAGATAAAATAGACCAAAATAACAAGGATTCTCTCTCAACATTTGTGGGGTTTTTTGCGGTACGCGGGCCTTCCACCGCTGCAGCCCCTCCCGCCGCGGAGAACAGGCTCCGGACGCGCAGGCTCAGCGGCCATGGCTCACGGGCCCAGCCGCTCTGCGGCATGTGGGATCTTCCTGGACCGGGGCACGAACCCGCGTCCCCCGCATCGGCAGGCGGACTCTCAACCACTGCGCCACCAGGGAAGCCCTCTCTCAACATTTGGACAGTGGAAGGTTTTGATTTGTTATGAACATTTTTCCGTATTCTCTACAATTAGAATATGTCGCAAAAAAAGTAGCAGTTTTTTCTTTTAAAAGTTAGTTTTGCAAGCCGAGATCACGTCAAATTATTGTGCTTAAGAGCCATTCATAATAACTGAAGGTCCTGGTTAAAAACCAAATTAAGGTTTAGGCCACATTAACTGCAGGAAAGAGCAGGCCCACAGAAGCCCCCATGCTGTGCTAGGCGGGCCACATTTAGAATATTGTGTCCCATTCTTGGTGTCACTTTTTTTTTTAATTTTTACTTTTTAAAATTATTTTTAGCTGCAGTAGGTCTTAGTTGCGGCACGTGGGACCTTCATTGCAGCATGCGGGCTCTTTCGTTGTAGCATGTGGGCTCTTCGTTGTGGGGTGTGGGCTTCTCTCTACTTGTGGCATGTGGGTTTTTCTCTCTCTAGTTGTAACGGGCGGGCTCCAGAGTGCTTGGGCTCAGTAGTTGTGGCACGCCGGCTTAGTTGCCTCATGGCACGTGGGATCTTAGTTCCCCGACCAGGGTTCCAACCTGCGTCCCCTGCATTGGAAGGTGGATTCTTTTTTTATTATTATTTAATTTATGTATTTATTTGGCTGTGCCGGGTCTTAGTTGCGGCATGCGAACTCTTAGTTGCAGCATGTGGGATCTAGTTCCCTGACCAGGGATCGAACCCAGGCCCCCTGCATTGGGAGCACGGAGTCTTAGCCACTGGACCACCAGGGAAGTCCCGGAAGGTGGATTCTTTACCACTGGACCACAGGGGATGTCCCTCAGTGTCACTTTTAAAAGGATACTGTCTAACTGTCGTGCATTTGAAGGAGAGTGGTCAATCCGTATGGGGTCTGGAAATCCTGTGGCTGTTAACACTTAAAGAACTGGGCGTGTTTGTCTTCCAACAGCAGATTCCAAGGGAGTAAGTTTCTTCTAATACCTGAAGAACTGTCAAATAGCAAAATGAGGATTCTCATTTTATACAGTTGTAGAAGGGAGATTTTAGGAAGGCAGATTTTTTTCCAGTAAATAAGGGAGACTTTTTTTTTTTTTTTTTTTGGCTGCATGGCTTTCAGGATCTTAGTTCCCTGACCAGGGATTGAACCTGCGACCCCTGCAGTGGAAGAGCAGAGTCTTTTATATTTATTTATTTATTTGTTTTTTTTTTTTTTTGGCTGCATTGGGTCTTCGTTGCTACATGCAGGCTTTCTCTAGTTGCGGCCAGCAGGGGCTACTCTTCATTGCCGTGTGCGGGCTTCTCATTGCAGTGGCTTCTCTTGTTGCAGAGCATGCGCTCTAGGTGCGCGGGCTTCAGTCATTGTGGTACGTGGGCTCAGTAGTTGTGGCACACGGGCTCTAGAGCGCAGGCTCAGTAGTTGTGGTGCATGAGGTGAGTTGCTCCGCGGATCTTCCCGGCCCAGGGATCGAATCCATGTCCCCTGCATTGTCAGGCAGATTCTAACCACTGCGCCACAGGGAAGTCCCAGAGGAGCAGAGTCTTAACCACTGGACCTCCAGCGAAGTCCCCTAAGGGAGACTCTTCTAACAATCCACATAGTCAAAGATGGGAGTGGGCACCAAACAGCATCTCCCAGTGGCATTGGGAGGAGGTAACAGAGCTGCCTGCAGAGTTCAAATGCAGCACCCTGGTGTGGCCACTTCTGGCCTCTTCCAGGAACCTGCCTGCAACTCCCCCAAACTCACAGCCTCTTGGAGGCAGAAGACGGTCAGGTTCCATGGGGTCTGCCTCCCCCTTCACGCTCTCTCTTCTCGGGGCCAGCTCTCTAGAGAATTCCCCCCTCCCATTTCCCAGCATTCCCATCCTCTGGTCTTGCTTTATTTTTCTTCCTAAACCTTGCCCTGATGGAAACATTGTTACCTGGTGAGTCATTTCCTTCTCTTTGTCCCTTCTAGTGGGGCCAGACAGGACTTTCAAACATGGTCACTGGGGCGTTCAGAGCACAGACCAGTGACTGGCACACAGCAGGCCGGCCATATTTGTTCAATGAAGTAATGGTTCTCAAAGGATACAGAGCACAGGGTTCAGATAACCTTGAGGGAAGAAATTTCAGCAATATTAAAAGTTAATTGTGGGACAAGCCACAACTACGGAGCCCGCATACCACAACTACTGAAGCTTACGTGCCTAGAGCCCATGCTCCGCAACAAGAGAAGCCCCCACTGGCCGCAACTAGGGAAAGCCCCCGCTCAGCAACAAAGACCCAACGCAGCCAAATTAAATAAAAATAAATAAATAAATGAAGAATTGTTTAAAAAAAAAAGTTAATTGTGGGACTTCCCTGGTGGTTCAGTAACTAAGGTTCTGCACTCCCAATGCAGGAGGCCGGGTTGGATCCCTGGTCAGGGAACTAGATCCCACATGCCACAACTAAAGTTCCCGCACGGCACAACAAAGACCCCATATGCCACAACTAAGACGCGGCGCAGCCAAATAAATAAAAATTTAAAAAACAGTTAATTGTGAGACATCCATTGATAGAGGAATGGATAAACGAAATGTGGTATACACACACAATGAAGTATTATTCAGCCTTCAAAAGGAAGGAAATTATGCCAGCTGCAACAGGGATGAAACTTCAGGGCATATGCCAGTCACAAACAAATATTGTATGATTCCACTTCTAACGGGTCCCTAGAGTAGTCAAATTCAGAGACAGAAAGTAAAATTGTGGGTGGGAGGGGGATGAGGAATTATTGTTTGATGAGTACAGAGTGTCAGTTTTAGGAGATGAAAAAGCTATGGAGATGGATGGTGGTGATGGATACACAACAGTGGGAAATGTGCTTAATGCCACTGTACACTTAAAACTGGTTAAGATGGTAAACTTTGATATTGTATTTTACCACAATAAAAAAATTGTGGGTAATCGGGAGAACGTGGTCTTCCTAAAGGCAGGGTAGAAAATAGTTGCAAATAAAGGCTGCTAATAGCATATGAAGATGCCAACTGATCAGAGGTTGCTTCATCTGGCTAGAACTCGAATGACTTTAAGAACGCTTCAACAGGGCCGCCCTCTGGGAAGAGGGAAGAACAGCGAGGAAAGCGACTTGTTTGGTTCCGCGTGGTTTTCCTTACAAGACCCCTCCCAGAAGTGGCCGGTTGACACCGGGTCACCTCCGTAGGCCCCGCCCTCTTCTAGGCCCCGCCCCGTCCCACCCCTCCTCCTGGACCCGCCCTCTTTCTGGACCCGCCTCCTCCGCCCCGCCCCGGCGGAGAGCGAAGAGGAAGCGCGGGTGACTCTGCAGACGCCGCGTTTGGAAAGGTGTGAAGGGGGCGGGGAGCACAGGTCGCCCCCAACCCGCCCTCCCTCCCCGCCCCGCCCCCGCCCGGCCCGCCGCCCGGCCCGCCGCCCTGGCCTGCGCAGGCCCGCGGCCACTCGCTCCTGAGCGCCGACTCGGGGCTCCACTGCTCTGGCCTGGGGGCGGGGCCGGCGCGCGGCGTCATGCATATGCATGAGCAGCGCGGCGGCTCCATTGTGCCCTCGGAGCGGGCGGCGGCGAGATGGCGCGGACCGCGGCGGCCCCGGGGCGGCGGGCGACGCTGAGGGCGGGCTGAGCGCATGGAGCGGCGCGGACCGTGGGCCGCGGCGGCGAGGGGCCTGGCCGGGCCGCTTGGAGGTGAGCGGACCGGGCGGGCAGGTGCGGGCGGCGGGGGCGGCAGGTGCGGCAGGTGCGGGCGGCGGCAGGTGCGGCGTCCCCGGGCCCGGCTCTGCAGCGCCTCGGCGGGGCCCCGGCGAGGCTGGAGCCGGCCCTGCCGCCCACCTGCCGCACCTGCCGCGCGTGCGTCGTGGTCCTGGGCCGACTGGCCCCGTGCGCGCCGAGGCGACCCTTCACCTGAGCCTTTGTTGGGGCTGGCCGGAATCCGGCCGAGCACCCGAGGGGTCTGGGGCAAGAGGCTGACCCGGGCCCTCGCCCAAGCTGGTCCCGCTGCCTCTTCTCCGCGGTGTGGCCTGAAAGCTCACCTTTCGGGCCCCTCCGGGCCGTGCGCGCCGCCGGCACGCGGATGTAAGGTCCGCGGAGATAGGCTCTGGGGCTGGCGACCCTGACCTTCCAGCCCCCAGCCGTGCTTTTGGTGGAGATACCCTGTTCCCAACAGGACATATTGAAGTCAGGCGGGAGGGTGTCCTGCCCCCCGGCGTGTCTTGCCTTAGCCTCCCGCATCTGTTCCCCGCTGCCCTGTACCCCCCACCGCGCTACCCTGCTACCCCTGCCCTGCTCTTCCGGACCTTCCCCTGCTCTCCTACAGCCTGCTCCCCATACGCTCTTCCCGGTAGTTGCAGAATATCCATGGTGATGTCTTAAGTCCTTCGTATAATATTATCTCAGAAGATTTCACAGGGAAATACACAGAACATGTGACTCGATCTGTAAGACAGTTGATAGGGCGAACACAGACTCACCCACCAAATCCTGTCATACTAGAACCAGAGAGCTTCCGTTGAAGAAGCTTGAGAGAGGTAACAGGATAAGTGAAGGAATCTCAGCCTCACCCCGTGAGTACTGGCCTTGGGGACTTGTCACACCCAGAGGGTGGCTCTTGGCTGGGAAGAGAAAGGTGAGATGATGAATGACAGATTCAGAGCCACTCGTGAAAGACTGGTAGGGTATGCCCGGGGAGGATTCCTGATCATTGGATTGATCGCCAAGGGCAGCCAGGCCTCCCCATGGAGTGTCCACTAGCGCTTGGGTCCAGGATGGGATCGGGGGCTGATGACTTAAAGGTGGTCACGTGTTCTCCCTTTTCCTAGTCCTAGAGTGGCCACCACGTACCTATTTTACACATTGTAAACTGAGGCCCAGAAGAGTGCAACCCTTCAACTGTTCTCTGAAATGACCCACACCTGGGCCATTCAGAAATGCTCATTCCTGGGCATTTTGGATGAACTCTTTTTTTTAAATTTATTTATTTTATTTATTTTGGCTGTGTTGGGTCTTCGTTGCTGAGTGTGGGCTTTCTCTAGTTGCAGCAAGCGGGGGCTACTCTTCATTGCAGTATGCGGGCTTCTCATTGCGGTGGCTTCTCTCGCTGTGCAGCACGGGCTCTAGGCGCGCCAGCTTCAGTAGTTGCAGCACGCGGGCTCAGTAGTTGTGGCGCACGGGCTTCGTTGCTCTGCGGCATGTGGGATCTTCCCGGACCAGGGCTCGACCCGTGTCCCCTGCATTGGCAGGAGGATTCGCAACCACTGTGCCACCAGGGAAGCCCCTGGATGAACTCTTAACACTTATGCTAGTCAGTGTGTGGTCTTCCAAGTAGAGGGGCAGGACTTTGAGCCACTGGAGCATGTGAGCCCCCCCCATGGTGTCCTGCGATGCTCGAGCTATCATTCTCCGTTCTCTGAGCGTGTCTGGTGTTCCTCTGGCTGGGGCCCGTCACTGGAACCCTGGGAACTGTGGGCCCCCTGCTGCGGGGGGAGGCAGCGAGTCCCTGCCCTCCTGGGGTCGGGTGGTGTGTCGCGGGGCCTGCTGCTCCTGGGTGACTAGGCCGGGGTAACGGAGCGGAGGTAGAAGAGGGTGGACCCATGTTAATTAATGTCTGCCTTTGGAGACTGTGGTGCAGGCGCTGTGAGGTCCTGGGGAAGAAGGGTCTGGGTAGTGAGCTGTCTGTAGCTCTTTTTCGGGAGGAAGATGTAATCTGACCCCCAGAAAACCCTGTGGCCTTCTAGACTGACCTCAAGCCAGGACGTTCTGCTGAGGTCCTGGCTTCCAGCGAGTGTCCGTGTACAGGGAGAGCCCCCAGCCGGCAGGAAGCACACACACCCAAGCTCTTTCTTACCTCTGCCTCTGAGGCCAGGAGGTGGGAGGAGGGTCTGTGCTCACAGCACGCCTCTCCCTTTGTCAGGAGCAGAGGATCACGGGGTCCCTGACCTGGAGAGTTTGGGGCTTCTCAGGGAGGAGACCAGACTTGGTTCAGGAGCTTGGCAGGAAGTCAGGAAGTCACTGCCCCCGCACAGAGAGCTCAGGGGGAACTGGAAATGTCTGTGGTCTCGTACACAGCCGTGGGGCTGGAATTCCCCAGAGTCACGTGATGTAGGAAGCTGCCCTGGGCCCCAGGCCAGCACCCTCCACGGGGGCCCCCCCCCCCCCCCCCCGCCCTGCACCTGCCCTGTCCCCCTCCTCCCCAGCTCCCCTGGGCTCTCAGATTGTGGTCCGAGTAACAGCAGCGGCAGCACCTGCCGACTTGTTAGAAATGCACGTCTTAGGCCCCACCCCACCCTGCGAACTCGGAGTGGGGCTGAGCAGTCCTAGATTCCGGTGTGCTCCACCTGCCCTGAGGCTCTGACCCAGGCCGGGGGGTGGGGGGGGGGCGGCGGGGCCTGTCTTCCCGTCTTCCTCCTGCTTTTCCCTGTCCTTTGCTTCTGGGACAGCAGAGTGGGCCTGGCCAATCCAACCAGCTTTGGGAAAGGATTGCCCTGGGCATCTCTGTGGGGAGAGAGAGCTAGTCGCGGTTGTACATTAAGTAAATTTTTATTTTGAGAGAATTATAGATTTATAAGCAGTTATAAGAAATAACACAAAGAGCTCTGCGTCCTTTACTGGCTTTCCCTAGTGGTAACATCTTGCAAAACTGTAGCACAGTATCACAGGAGGGTACTAACTCCATCAATACAGTTGAGATACATGTATTTCCATCCCCACCTTCTTATATTCCCACTCGCTTCCCTTCTCCCCACGTTTAACCCCTGGCAACCACCAGTGTGCTCTCCATTTCTATAATTTCGTCATTTCGAGGATGTTATATAAAGGGAATCATACAGTGTGTAACCTTTGGGGACTGGCTTTTTCCACACATCATGATTCTCTGGAGATTCCTGCAGGTTGGTGCCTGTATCAGTAGCTCTTCCTTTTTATGCCTCCAGGCTCACAGTTGGTTAACTCTTCACCGCTAAGGGACATCTGGGTTTCCATTCTTTGGCTATTAGGAATAAAACTGCTGTAAACATTCACGTACAGATTTTTATGTGAACATAAGTTTACACTTCTCTGAGATACATGTTCAGGAGTGCAGTTGCTGGGTTGTATAGTGGCTGCATGCTTAGTTTTATAAGAAACTACCGAATCGTTTTTCAGAGTGGTTGTACCATTTTATATTCCCACCAGCCATGCACGAGAGATCCAGTTCCTCCTAGCCAGCATTTGGTGGTATCACTATTTCTTATTTTAGCCGTGGTGATAGGTGTGTAGTGATACCTCGATGTGGTTTTAATTTGCATTTCTCTGATGGCCAGTGATGTTGAACATCTTTTCATGTGCTTATTTGCCGTCTGTATTTCTTCTTTGGTGAAATGTCTTTTCGTGTCTTTTGCCTGTTTTCTCATTTTTTTTAGCTTTCGCATTTTGAGAATTCTTTATGTACTCTAGAGACTAGTCTTTTGTCAGATACGTGGCTTGCAGATACTTCTTCCAGTCTATAGCTTGCGTTTTCGTCCTCTTAGCAGGGTCTTTCACAGAACAAAAGTTTCCAGTTTTTCCTTTTATGGATCATGCTTTTGGTGTCAAATCTAAGAAAGTTCTTACGGTTTTGTGCTGTACATTTAAATCTGTGACCCACTTCGAGTTAGTTTCTGTATAAGATGTGAAGTTTAGGGTTTTTTTGTTTTGTTTTGTTTTTGTCTTTTGCTTGTGAACGTCCAATAGCTCCAGCACATTTGTTGAAAATGCTGTCCTTCCCCCAGTGCATACTTTTTGCACCTTTGTCAGAAACTCTGTCTGGGTCTGTCTTGGGCTCTCTAGTTTGTCCCATTGACCTGTGTGTCTGTCCCTCTGCCAATACCACAGTCTAGAGCAGCCCGCCTATATTCTGAGTCCTAAAAGCGCTGCGTGTTGCTCCAGGCCCCGCTCAGCAGGTTTAGGGGGCGTTTCTGGCTGTCGGCAGCGCTCCCCACCCCCAGCCTCCCACTGCAGTGTCACCAACCTGGGGGTTGTCCTCGCTGGGGACAGCCAGCCTTCCCTTGCCTGGCTCAGTGATTCTGGCTCCGAGGGCTGAGTCCAGGGGCCCCTGAGCCCTCTGGAGCCACCAGCCTCCTGCTTTCTTGGCCTTTGCTTCCTGGTTGGCATGTGGTCTGGGGCCCGACTCCTCTGGGAGGGGCGTCAGGAAGGAGAGCAGGGCCAGGCGTGAGGTGGACAGGCACGCCAGCTGCCTCACTCCTCTTGTCTGACCGGTCCATCACCTTCCTCCCAGCCCTGGCTCTGCTGCGATTCTGGGAACCACTCACCCCAGTGCTCTGTGGGAGGCCTTGGGCCCAAGTCACAGCCCCCACTGTATCCCCCACCTGCGCTGGGGCCCTTGTCAGGGACTCGGCCCCCGCGTGCCGCCTTCAGGACTGTATTTGCAGAGGACATGACGATATAATCCTGCCTCGCTTGGGCTGCCCTGACGGTGAGGTCCTGGTCAGCGCTCAGGAATGCGAGCCTTGGGGTTGGGTGGGTGGCACTGTGAGTGCTGAGGCGGTGGGATTGAGCCACCAGAAGTTAGCTTGCCCAGGTGGTGTGTGCGTGCGCGTGAGGCCTTGCAGCCCCTAGAAGGCAGTGGTGCTCTAGGTTGGAACCTCAACCCAGAGAAGGCAGACGGGGCGTCCCCGGAGACCCCCAGACAGCCACAGCCAGCATGCCTCTGTGGTTAGGCTGGGTGGAGGTGCGCGTGAGAGGTGGCCCTGGCGGTGCCAGCAAGGGCCCTCAGCCTGGTTGGCGGAGGGTTTGCTTGTGGAGGTGTCGGAGGCGTTGGCAGCCAGGAGGGGCAGCCGGCTGCTGCCTTGCTCGTTTTCTGAGGTGCTAAGGGGAAGAGAGCCAGCCCCACAGAGTGGGAGGAAGCGGTGCCCCATCCCAGCATGGGCTCACAGGTTCCATGCGTTTCCCCCGGCCATGGCTGCTGTGTCCCCACTGGCCCCTTGCCATGTCTGTTGGGTGCCCACCAACCCTCCGCCCTTTGCGCTGTGTGTGCGTCCCCACCTTGTTGGGAGCTCACCGTGCGGGTCACTGCGATCTGTGGGGGGTCAGTCTTCCCGCCTTGCCCCTGTGCGCACGCTGCCCTTCTGCTGCTCTGGGGAGAAGCCCTGGGGCTGGGGGGCTGCCAGCCAGGGATGGGCTGCTGGCTCCACACCTAGTTCCGGCCCCTGCCTGGCCCCAGGCTGCAGGTTAGCTGACCTGGTGCTGCACCCCCACCCCCACCCCCACCCCCACCTCTGGCATGCAGAGGCCCCTCCCCATAGTGGGCAGGCCCCAGACCCTGAGCAGGTGATGCCTGCTGTCTGGCACTCCTAGGCCTCTGGCCTTGTCCGCCCCGCCCCCCCCCTCGGGTAGGGTGGACGCAGGGGATTCTGGCAGCTGGGTTCTGGATGTCCCCTGGCTTTTATGCGTATCCAGGCTTTCGTGTGGGGGAGGGAGAACGTGGAAAGTTTGGGAGATCAGAAAGTCTGCTTCCAGAACCATTCTGGGGGCTCCAGGTGGCAGGGCCCGGTCAGAAAGGGTCAGTGCTGGCTTCCGGGCTGGGGCTGGGGAGGGCAGAGATCTGCCAGGGTGGGCAGCGCGGGTAGGGCCAATGCCGGGCTTCCCTGAGCCCCCTGAGCGGGCCCCCGGGTCCCCGTCTCACCTGCCCTACCCTTCATCGGTTGGAGCAGAGGAAGGACGGGGCTTGGTGCTGATAGGGGTCTCCCGGCAGCATCTCCACTGACTTCCTTCCCTCCTGTCCCAGCAGCCAGAGCATCTGAGTCCCACGTAAGCACCAGTGAGGGCTGCTTCCTGCCACCCACAGACCTGGCCTTAAGGCTGCTCCCAAGCCAATGAACCCCATGAACCCCATGAAACCCGCCCTGCCCCCCGCGCCACACGGGTGAGTGGGGTCTCCTGCTGCCCTCCCCGCTCGGGCCCCAGGACACGGGTGGGTGGTAGAGCGGGACCCCTCTGCTCCCAACCTTCGCTTCTTCCCAGGCGGGGTTCTAGGCACCTGCGGCCTCCTGACCGAGCCTCCCCGCCTGCCCCTCTCCTTGTAGTGATGGTCCATTCGCTTATGAGGCGGTGCCTTGGCAACAGAGTGCCACTCAGCCAGCAGGATCGCTGTCCGTGGTCACAACTGTGTGGGGAGTCGGCAACGCGGCGCAGAGCCAGGTGAGCCCACACCTGGGCCCCGCCCCGAGGGGCTCCAGAGCCCCCCTCAGATCTCGGAGAAGTGGAGCCAGGGTTTCCTGAGTCTCCCACGTCCTCAGAGACCAGTTCTTCCACACGTGGCGTGGGATCTCCTCCTCCTGTCTTCACCTGGCCTCCACACCCCACCTGTGAGCAGCTGCCCCCCTCCACTGGACCACCCTCCCCTCTGCCCCCACCTCCACCTCCTCACCTGCCCAGCCTCTCCTTTCCAGCACTTTAGAACCACGGCATGAAGCAAGTTGTTTGGATGGTGTCCTTTGGTGATTCTTGCTTCCTTGTAGGTTTTGGGGAACCCTATGGGCCCCGCAGGGAGCCCCCCCGGCAGCTCCATGATGCCCGGCATGGCAGGCGGCAGCTCTGCCCTGAACTCCCCACAGTGCCTGGGACAGCAGGCGTTCGGTGAGGGCGGTGCCAACAAGGGCTACGTGCAGCAAGGGGTGTATGGCCGCGGGGGCTACCCCGGGGGCCCCGGCTTCACCGCTGGGTAAGCAGGACCGCTCCCCTGGCAGGCGTGCTAGGAGCCCTCTGGGGGTGACGCTGCTAACTTGCTGGGCGCCTGGGAGCTGTGTGACACTGATGTGTTGAACGTTGCATCTCTGCGGCTCCTGCCGGCTCCCAAGCTAACGAGGGGGGTGTGTGGGAAAGAATGGGGCTCCCCTCGGGTGCCGTGTACCCCCCCGGAAGATGGCAGGGGAGCGCCTCTGAGCTGAGCCGTCTGTCTATTACAGGTATGCGGGCGGCCCGGGGGGGCCGGGGGGCCTGGGCCTTCCCTCACACGCTGCACGGCCCTCCACCGACTTCACTCAAGCAGCGGCGGCTGCTGCCGTGGCTGCTGCTGCCGCCACGGCCACGGCCACAGCCACGGCCACCGTGGCCGCCCTCCAGGAGAAGCAGAGCCAGGAGCTGAGCCAGTACGGAGCGGTGAGGCCCCGCAGCTCCTCCTGTGCGGCCCGTGTGTGTTGGTGCAGAAGGCAGGGTCTTGTCAGGCAGCCAGGATTGAGGCCCTGGGGACACGCACGCTGTGTGCCGGGGCCGATGAAGATGAGGCGGGAAAGGAGTAGGGAGCTGAGGGGAGAGAACCCAGGCCGGGGAGGGGGTGAGGGGGAGCCCGCCTGCAGGGGGTGGGCACAAGGCTGGCGCCCACAGCGGTGGGTAAGGCCTGGATGGTTCCTCTCTTCTTTTCCCAGATGGGGGCCGGACAGTCTTTTAACAGCCAGTTCCTGCAGCACGGCGGTCCCCGGGGGCCCAGTGTCCCCAGCAGCATGAACCCTGCCAGCGTGGGAGGGCTGATGGGCCCCTCCGGCATGAGCCCCATGGGCATGAACCCCACCCGGGCAGCGGGCCTAGCGCCCCTATATGCAGGGCAGCGCCTGCCCCAGCACGGGTACCCTGGGCCCCCCCAGGCCCAGCCCTTGCCCCGACAGGGCGTCAAGAGAGCCTACTCCAGTGAGGTGAGTGGTCAGGCCCCCCACCCCGAGTGCCCTCAGAGCCGTTGTGTGGAGGGAGAGTCGGCTGTGCCTGACAGGGTGGGTACCGCCCTCCCTCCCCGGGAACGGGCTTCCCCAGCACCTCTTCTCCTGGCCATTTTGCCTCTTTCCTCCTTCAGGTGTATCCTGGGCAGCAGTACCTGCCAGGAGGCCAGTACACGCCCGCTGCCACCCAGTACGCGCCTGGCCCCGGGCAGCCCCCCGCCCCGTCCTCCTACCCTGGGCACAGGCTGCCCCTGCAGCAGGGTGCGGGCCAGTCCCTGTCCACCCCCAGCCCCGCGGGACTGCACTACAAGGTAGGGCTGCTTCTCCCGGGCCTCTGCAGCCCCTGCTGGCCCACGCCAAGCCCTGTGGGACACAGGCGGACCTTGAGGCAGCCGGGGCTGGCGAGTGGGCTCGCGTGTGCTTGGGTGGCCGAGCAACCAGGAGCTTCCCGGGGGCCCTGATCAGCGTAGGGCAGCTCCCAGGAGGGGAGTCCAGGTACGAAAGGCCCCTCTGTGAGATTCAGTGTATGGAGCAGCAGGCAGGCACCCATGCCACCTGCGTGTCCTTCAGGGACAGTGTCCCCATCCCCTCTGCTTGCTGCAGAGAAGCCCAGCAAGGGGACAGGCCAGAGGGGCCAGGAGCTCTTGAGGGGAGGGGCCCGAGCGATAAGAGTGCCGCTGGAGGGCGGACAGGAGGTGTGTGTACCTGTGTCCTTTCAGCCTCTCTGTGGCTTCCTCGTAAACCCCTCTGATGCGTGGGGTCAGCTCTTTTTCTGTAGTGGTCATTCTTAAAATTATGAAATCAGCACATGCTCCCTGTAGATTATTTAGAAGACACAAAAAGTGTATAAAGAAGAAAGAAGCCAACACCCGTGTGTGTGGTGGGCCCCCCTGTCCCCAGCCCTCTCCTAGGGTCAAGTCCAGGACCCTGTGAGCGCTCAGGGGCAGGCGGCAGTCCCAGGCACACGCGGTTTTCTCTCCTGCAGCCCGCAGAGCAGTTCAGCGGGCAGGGTGCCCGCTTCAACGCGGGGAGCGCCAGCTACAGCCAGCCCGGCCTGAGTGGGGTATGGGCGGTGGGAGGCCCATGGGGTGGGTGCCTGGAGAGAGGGCACCCAGGCAGGAGGAGGCGTGGACTTCCTGCCCGTTCCTGGTCTGACCGTTCCCATTGGGCGCTCCAAGAACAAACTCTACTCCTACACCACTCCACCTTGACTGTTTGCTCAACCCCACAGCCCGCCCGTTCCATCCCCGGCTACCCCAGCTCCCCACTGCCAGGGAGCCCCACGCCGCCCATGACCCCCGGCAGCAGCATCCCCTACATGTCCACCAGCCAGGAGGTCAAGTCGCCCTTCCTGCCCGACCTCAAGCCCGGCGTGAGCAGCTTGCACCCGTCACCACCCGGTGAGTGAGGTCTGCTCTCGGGACAGATGGGCAGGGCTCCAGACAGTCCTGCAGGGACCTTGGCGGGGGCGAGGGGCCTTCACCTTTATTTTCTATTAAAGGACCTCTTTGCAAATCCATTTGAAGCATCTATATCCTCTGTAGGAAAATAGCCATGTGCACAGTTTTGTGTATGGTTTCAGGGGCCCCCTGAAGCCCACTTCTGGTTAAGAACTCCTGCTTTTCGGGAGACCACTGCAGCAGCAGTTGGGGGTCCTAAAACCCTAGCTTGAGCACTAGGGTGACAGCAGGGGCCCGTTCGCACCTCTTCTGCCTCCTACCCCCTCTGAAAGCACCAGAGGCGCCATTTTTTTGGGTTGGTGGGGCATGTTCTCTGGTCATGATTCAGGGATCATTCTCGGGGCTCCTACTGGAGCAGAACAGAATGGCGGGACACCAAGATCTGTTCCCGTTGGAGGTGGAGGCTGAGCCCAGGGTCCCGGGAGAGATGCTGCCCAAGCCCCAGCCCCATGGCAGGGGAGGAGGGGCCACAGCCCCCGCGATGGGGCGGGGGCAGGCCGCTCGGCCTGGTGGCCATCCTGTAGGTGGCCTGCTCACACCGGCATGGCCTGCTTCCAGGCAGTGGCCCCTGTGACGAGCTGCGGCTGACTTTCCCCGTGCGGGACGGGGTGGTCCTGGAGCCCTTCCGCCTGCAGCACAACCTGGCCGTGAGCAATCACGCTTTCCAGCTCCGTGACTCCGTCTACAAGACCCTGATGCTGAGGTGAGTGGGCGCCTGCCCCCAGCTTGCAGCCCCTCGCACCGCCCCCTCGCTCTCAGCATCCATCCTTCCCGTACAGGCCGGACCTGGAGCTGCAGTTCAAGTGCTACCACCACGAGGACCGGCAGATGAACACCAACTGGCCGGCCTCGGTGCAGGTCAGCGTCAACGCCACCCCGCTCACCATCGAGCGTGGCGACAACAAGACCTCCCACAAGCCCCTCTACCTGAAGCACGTGTGCCAGCCGGGCCGCAACACCATCCAGATCACCGTCACGGCCTGCTGCTGCGTGAGTGCCCTCCGCGGGGCTGGGTTGGGGGCGTCATGGCTAGAGAAAAAGGCACTGGCTCTCCTCCTTCCCATCCTGGGCCTTGTAAGTAAAGGATCTCAAATAAAAATGCCCTTGCTGCTTTCGGGTTAGGTTCAGTGACTAAATTTGATGCTCATGTTAATTATGTAAGGGAAACTAGCTGAGCCTGCCTCTTTCCTGGAGGAAGCTCACAGGGTCCTGAGTCCCAGCTGACCCTGAGTCTTTGTTAAGGAGTCATTCAGGTTCCAGCAAGCTCCGGATCCAGGACTAGAAGAGGCAGGATGCACTTAGCTGCACAGCACTGATCAGCCCGGGTGGGAGGGGGCAGAGGCGGGCAGCCCCAATGCAGTTCTGGGATGTTTTCACTTGGACCAGCGTGGATAAAGGTGGTTGCTGTAGGCAGGGCACATTCAGGGGCCTCTCAGATAATTGTGTTCCGACAGAGAGGCCGTGGTTGGTGCAGACACACAGTGAGCTTTCCAGATAGGTGTGGGCCTGGTCCCCTGGGCTCCCCGGGGAGGGGCAGCAGGTGGCCTGCCTGTGCGTTAGCCACAAGAGGAGAACGGGCCTGCGCTGCGCCTCCCTGGGCCACGTCCCGCTGACCGGGTCCTCCTGTTGCAGTCCCACCTCTTCGTGCTGCAGCTGGTGCACCGGCCGTCCGTCCGCTCGGTGCTGCAGGGTCTCCTCAAGAAGCGCCTCCTGCCCGCCGAGCACTGCATCACCAAGAGTGAGTGGCCCTTGTGTTCCTCGGCCCCAGGCAGCCGGCCCCATGACAGACAAGGCTGCCTTCTCTGGGGCGGGGGCTGCGTGCCGAGAGCAGCAGTCAGCTGTGGAACGCCCCTCGGAGGTGCTGAGCCAGCAGTGGCCGGGTCCCGCTTGGCGGCCCTCACCCACGTCCTCCTTTCCCCTGTCGATGTCAGTAAAGCGGAACTTCAGCAGCGGCACCATCCCTGGCACCCCTGGGCCCAACGGAGAGGATGGCGTGGAGCAGACGGCCATCAAGGTGTCTCTCAAGTGCCCCATCACCTTCCGCAGGATCCAGCTCCCTGCCCGAGGCCATGACTGTCGCCACATTCAGGTAGGTGGCCACTGCAGAGCTTTGCCAGAACTTCCGTTGCCCTTTAACTGTCTTCAGCGGGAGTGGCCTCAGCACCTCGGCTGGCAGGTGACAGGACAGGCCGGCCAGTGGGCAGGTGGCCTGGCTCCCCTGCCTTCTCCCCTCAGACTGGGCTTTTGTTTCTTCTAACATTATTCTAAGCGTAACAGCCGTTTCACTGCGTTCTTGGGGCTCCGATTTTAAACGGCATCCTGGATGCAGGGCGCTGTCCTCTCCCCGCCCTGCCCCCAGGAGCAGCGCCTTTGTTTGTCTCTGCAGAAACGCTCTGCGTGCAGACAAGTACGTGCACACACACCCTCCACCCCCCCGCCCACCTTTTGGTTACATAAGCGGTAAACATCGCTCTGCATCATGTTTTTCCTCCACACCACGTCCTGGAAGCCATTCCCTGGCTGGGCAGAGCTGCCCAGCCCTTGCTTTGGCCACACGTCATTCCCAGGGAGGGCTGCGTAGGCTGTCCCGTCTCCTACATCTGTTAGGATGATGCCGTGGAAAAGCCTGGGAGCCGAGCCTCTCACACAGGCAGTAAATAAGCCCCAAGTTCCTGAAACCACAGAGCACGGCCGGGTTGCCCCGGCCCCAGTGTGAGGAACTGTCTCGCCCTTTCTCTGCAGTGCTTTGACCTGGAGTCCTATTTACAGCTCAACTGTGAGCGAGGGACCTGGAGGTGCCCCGTGTGCAAGTGAGTGTGTCAGAGACGGTCCCCACGGCTCTGGGGGCGGGTGGCACTTCCTCTGAGGCTGTTAATGGGCGTTTCCTTCCACAAGCCAGGTGTGGGGCTCACAGCACAGGCTAGGAGGGATGGAGTGGCTCAGGGCAGCGACGTCACGCAGGGTTACCTCACACCGGGGGCTGAGACATGACAGGGCCTGTGCCCGGGAAGAGGTTGGGCCAGCCCTCTGAGCTGTGTGTCCCCTTGGTTTTCTACAGCAAGACGGCATTGCTGGAGGGCCTGGAGGTGGACCAGTACATGCTGGGCATCCTCATTTACATTCAGAAGTGAGTCTCCTTTCCTGCAACCCCAGCATCTTTGGTCAGCAGAGGGCAGCCCTGGGACAGGTGGGGAGATACCCCATGCTGATCCAGCGTGGAGTGGGCTCGACTCCAGGCCGTGGACGGAATCCACATCCGACCCAGGCCCGCAGACCACAAGCACGTGGAATGTGCTGGGTGGCCACAAGCATTTGAGTGGGAGGTCTGCCTAAAAATGGCCCAGGGCCAGGAGAGGCAGCAGGACAGGTGGTGACCAGCCCTGCATGTCCCCGCCCAGCTCTGACTACGAGGAGATCACCATCGACCCCACGTGCAGCTGGAAGCCAGTGCCTGTGAAGCCTGACGTGCACGTCAAGGAGGAGCCGGACGGGCCGGCGTTGAAGCGCTGCCGCACCGTGAGCCCTGCCCACGTGCTCATGCCCAGCGTGATGGAGATGATCGCTGCCCTGGGCCCTGGGGCCGCGCCCTTCGCCCCCCTCCAGCCCCCCTCAGCCCCGGCTGCCGGCGATTACCCCAGCCAGGGTGAGTACAGGGGGCTTGCCCTAGAAACAGACGGCCCTGGGCAAATGATCCGTCCTCTCCCACCAGTCTGCTGCCTGTGGACGTGTCACTCCGAGGGCCGCGAGCCTGGGGGCCTGGTTGGGGACTTGGTGGCATAGGCGCAGCCTCGGCCGAGCCGGCGGGGATGGGCAGCAGGGCCTCCGGCTGCAGCTGCACGTACCTCCCCAGTAGTCTGGAACAAAGGTCTGTGCTGGCACACTTCCATGGACCGGCCCCGTCCGACCACGCGTGCGGGAGTGTGTGGGTGCGGTGGGTCCCATTCCTGTCCCCTCGCAGCCTCCTGGCAGTGTCATCAGCCAGCTCCCCCAGCAGCAATGAGAAGAAATGCCCTTTGCCGAATAGCAAGTTCGTAAAGTCAGACGTTCTCTGGGTGAGCTCAGTGAGTCCTGCCCACGCTGTGGCTGGCCTGTTTCCGTGCTCTACCGGCATGAGCCCCCTGGCTCTCCTCTCTCAGCTTCCAGCTTCCTGGGACCCGGGACGTTCCCCGACTCCTTCCCGCCCACCACGCCCAGCACCCCGACCCTTGCTGAGTTCACCCCGGGGCCCCCCCCCGTCTCCTATCAATCCGACATTCCTAGCAGCCTCCTGACACCGGAGAGATCTGCCCCCTGCCTCCCAGGCCAGGTCAGTGCCAAGGCGGGGGGCTGACGAGCTGTCCACCCGGAGAGCCCCTGGGCCATTTTACTAGGTTCTTCTCTCCTCCTTCAGATGGCACCAGCGGGTCACCTGGACCCGGCCCATAACCCTGGGCCTCCGGGGCTGCACGCCCCCAACCTTGGAGGCCCCCCAGGGCCCCAGCTGCACCATCCAAACCCTCCCCCGGCATCCCGGCAGCCCCTGGGCCCGGTGAATTCGGGTCCCATCGGTGAGCTGGCCTTCAGTGCTGCCACAGGCATGATGGGGCCCCCCGTGTCTGGGGCAGGGGAGGCCCCGGAACCGGGCCTGGACGTGAGTACTGGGCCCCGTGCTGGGGAGCACTTGGAGCCGGGGCTGGGGTGTGGCTTATCTGTCATCCCAGGGTCCACATGCTTCATAGAAGGGAGGACAGTGATACCACCGTGACTTCCAGACGCAGGGAGAGCTGGTCGGGTGACGTCAGCGCTTTTGTTGACGAGTGTGAGGTATCCAGAGTAGCCGTGGGTGATTGTGTCCAGACATCTGGCCCTGGGGACCTGGGTGCCACCGTGGCATGGGCAGAGTCCCCGAGAAGACTTGGCTTGTAGCTGGTGACCCTGGCCTTAGGGTCTGATTTGACCTGTCTGACTCACAGGTGGTATGTGAGCCAGACTCAGTGCAAAAAAGACAGTTGACTGTCTCTTGACCATGGTAAATGAATACAAAGTTCAACGTGAAAAAATGTAGAAAGCACAGCTCAAAGCAGAAAATCCCAGGGAGTGGGATCCCACCTTCTGCATTCGCCCTGTTCACGTCAGGGACCCCTCACGGTCCTGGGTGTCCCATGTTGTCCTTGAACAGCTTGTCACAGGTGATTCCTGGTCACAGAGCAGTCTTTCGCTGGAAGAGCCCCTGTGCAGAGCAGGCTGAGGGGCTCCAGTGCCAGCCTGTGTCGGGGTGAGGGGTGTGCCGCATCCCGGCTGGGGACCCAGGCCCACAGCTGGCGGGTTTGCTTTGTCCTCAGCTGCTCCCAGAACTGACTAACCCTGACGAGCTGCTGTCCTACCTGGGCCCACCCGACCTCCCCACAAACAGCAATGACGACCTGCTCTCTCTCTTCGAGAACAACTGATCCTGTTGACCACCTGGCCGACGGGGACATGCCCGCAGATGTCACACACCCTCCTCTCCAGCCCGGCCCCCCCGACACCAGCGGCCCTCCCCACACGTACACCTGGAGCCAGGACGCGCCCCGACGCCTGGCCCTGGAGGCTGGAGGCGGCCCTGCACTGGCTGGGAGGGGACCCCTGGGCGGTGGTGCTCGCTGGCCCAGTTTGCAGCTGCAGAACTGTTTTTGATGAGATCCCCAGCCCCGCCCTTGTCCCTGCCCCGTCCGCACCCCACCCATGCTTGTCCAGCCCTGCCTGGTTCATGCACACCTGCCACCCCTGGCCCCGCGACCCCTGCCTGCTCTCACCGGCCTGCATCTTGTCCACCGTTGACCTTTTTACTTCAATGACCCCTTGGCCCTGGGCCGGTGAGGAGCGGGGCTGCTCTGTCCCGGGGCCCCGTCTCGCCCAGCCTCCTGTGGCAGGGGCTGGGGGTGTCCCTCCTCCCACTCGAGGCTTCAGGCTGACGCTGGGGGTGGGGCCTCTACAGCACAACAGTGTACCTAGCGTAGAAACGCTGACAGATGTAGGGTGGCTGGGCCTCTGTGCAGCCGGGGCTCCTGCCCTGGCCGTGTGCAGACAGTGGTGGGGGCGGGGGGGGGCGGCAAGCTCCCTCCTGCTGGAGGCGGGGCTCGGACTCGGCTCCCCCAAGCTCCCCTTCTCTGTGAAAGTGAAGAATTGGTCTCGCTGTGTTTTTTAAAACCACACCTCTCCCGTGTCCACCCTGGGGCCATGCCAGGTGGGGGAGGAGCCGCCGCACTGCAGGTGCAGGGCCGAGCTGTGTCCCCTGTCCGCCCGTCTCTATTAAAGGACTCCCTCGTGGTGGACCTGGCGAGTCCCTCCTTCCTGCTCCACCTGCGTCCTGCGCCTGGGCGGGGCTCCCTGCTCCAAGCCAAGGCCCAGCTGTTCGCAGCCCTGGGTAAATTTCCTTGTCCCTGGAATTTCCCAAGTTGGCTTTGGCAGGAGAGCTGTTTGGTGAAGTGTCACCAGGGCTGGGAGACGCATCTGCCACCACGTCACTGTGTGGGCTTGCCTCAGGCAGGGAGCCAGCTATGGGGCCAGAGGCCTCAGGAGGGGCCGGACCGAGTGCCTTCGTCTGTGTGCTAGCTGCCTGAGCCTCCCCGAGGGCCTTCCTGTCCAGCAGAAAAGGCTTATGTGTCCCTTGGGGGAGGAGGGAGGGCGCCCCCGGACACCTGCCGCGGGGGGGAGCGTCCAGTGTGGGCGGGCTCCACGTTGCCTGCTGACATCTTGGAACCCCAGGTGTGGGCCTTCTGTCCCTCTGCAGCCTTGCTTCTGGCTTTTCTGGCTGAGGGAACGGAAGTGGAGAGAGGCTGAGGGAGGAACGGTGCCCCCAGTGCTGCAGGGAGCAAAGAGGCAGGTCCCGGGGTTTGCCCAGAAGCCCAGACCCAGCAGAGCCCACCCCCAGGGGGTGGGGGGCTCCTTTCTGGTGGATGTTAGGCACAGCTGGGAGCGCTGTCCCACTGTGTGGGGCAGCTGTGCACCCTTGGCCTGTGATGTGCTGGGTAGAGTGGAGAGATCGGGAGATGGGCTGCTCGGGCTACACCCACAGAGAGGTCGGGAAAGGTCTGAGGGGCGCCTCAGCCCCGACGTCGCCGTGGCCACCTCAAACAGTGAGGGATGAAAGCAAGGTGTGGGAGTTCACGCGGTGTGATGCCCTTTTTATAAAGCGCAACACCAGGTCTGCATTTCATGGGATCCGCACATGTGCAACAGGAAGGAAAGCAAGGCGGTCAACACAGTGGCCACAGTGCTCCCTGTGGGGACAGCACAGGGGTGCGTCTGGGGAGAGTGACAGTGGCAGTGGTGTTCTGACCCTCAAGGGGAGCGGTGGTTTCACGGGTTTTCACCTTATGCTTTGTGTTATATATCCTTACAAACGTACCAAATATGCAACTTAAAAAGCTACCTAGGCCTGACAGACACACAGAACACCCAACAACAGCAGAATACACGTTATTTTTAAGTGTATGTGGGACGTTCTCCAGGAGAGACCACACGTTAGGCCGCAAAACAAGCCTCAATAAATTACCAAGATTGAAATCATACAAAGTACCTACTCTGACCACAGTGGAATGAAGCTAGATAAGAGAAGGGAAACAAAAACTCACAAATGTGTGTAAATGAACACTCTTCAACAGTCAGAGGGTCAAAGGAGAAATCACAAATAAATTACAAGATAAAACACTACACACCAAAATCTAAAACACAATGAAAGCAGTGGTAAAGAGGGAAATATATAGCTGTAAACGTCTACATTTAAAAAGAGGGACTTCCCTGGTGGTCCAGTGGCTAGGACTCCATGCTCCCAGTGCAGGGGGCTAAGGTTGGATCCCTGGTCAGGGAACTAGATCCCACGTGCTGTGGCTGGGAGTTCGCATGCCCAAGTAAAGATTCTGCATGCCGCAACTAAGACCCAGCACAGCTGAATGAATGAATGACTACAAAAAAAGAAGTAGCAAAAAAGAACTCAGTTAACCTAACTAGGACTGAAGGCAGTAGAAAAAAGAAACTAAATCCAGAGCTTGCAGAAGGAAATAACTATTAAACAGAGGGAATAGGAAGACAATAGAGAACCAACGTAAGCAAAAGTTGTTTCTTTGAAAAGCAACAGAATGAACAAACCTTTAAGCTAGATTGACTAAAAGAAAAGAAACAAATGACTAAAATCTGAAATGAAACTTGGGGAAATTACTACTGACCTTAAAAGGATAAGAGAATACGACGAACAGTCGTGCACCAACAAATTAGATAACTTAGATGAAATGGACTAATTCCGAGAAATACAAATTACCAAAACTGACCCAACAAGAAACGGAAAATATGAACAGACCTACAAGTAAGGAGATTGAATCAATAATCAAACCTCCCCCAACACAGAAAAGTCTGGGACCAGATGCCTTCATGGGTGAATGCTACCATTTAAAGGCTTATACCAATCTTTATCCCACTCTTGTAAACACTGCAGAGGAGGGAATACTTCCTGAGTGTTTCCTCTCGGCAGCTCCCTGCCAGCAGCACTGCCATGTTCCTGGCCTTCTCTCGCTCCAGGCTCGGTGGCCTGTGTCCTCTCCCTGCAGCAAGGGGCTGCCACCCCTGCCCCCTCAGCTCTACCCCCTGCAGCCCTGTCCTCCTTAACAACCTTTCAAGCTTGGGTGGTCCCTGAGACCATTCATCCTGCCTGCCACGGGTTCTACGAGAGAAGCAAGGACATTGCGGCAATGGCTGGAGGGAGAAGTCTCTAGACAGGATCAAGGGAGTGTTTCATGGGCCCAGGGACTGCTGAAGCCTTTTTTCTTTTCTTTTTCTTACTGTTTAACCTTTTGTGTTGGGAGTCATTGGCCACTGGCCTGATCCACTTTTTTAAGCTGACATACAGAACTGAGTTCTGTAAGGTCATACACCTGTGGAACTGCTGTCCAGGTGAAGACAGATGTTTCCACCATTCCCCCCACCCCCTCAGCTACTGCTGCTCTGGCCTCTGTCACCAGAGGTGAATATGGCCTGGTCTTGAACCTGATATAAGTGAATCATAGGTCTGCACCCCTGGGTTAACTGACCCTTAAAGCTCATGTTTTTATTTTCATTTAACTCTAAGTTGTTCCTAGTTATGACTAGCAGTGATTAACACCGCTCCCCAGCCTCCGACACCCAACTCTTTCTGGCCAGGGTGCTCCTCTGCTGAAACTCTCTCCATGGGGTGTTAGCCACGACCCAGGTTGCAAGTGACCATGACCCACTCGGGACCATCTTGGGGCAAATTATGGACAAAAAGACCAAAAAAAAAAACCCAACTGCCACTTCTGAAGAGCCAGGAGCAAAAACGGTGTCAGAAGCAAAAGCAGGGTACTGTGCGTGCCGCCTGCGCACAGCACCACCAAAGGGGTGGGCAGACCACCTAAGCTGGACCCCTGGACACACCCCTACCCTCACCCCATGTAAGGAACCAGCTTGGCCCCGCCTAGGGGAGCGGGCAGGGGAACCTGTTACTTGTTCTCTCTCCCCGCTGCTGCAGCAGGGACCCCAGTAAAGCCTTGCTTGAATTTCTTGTCTGGCCTCTGGTCAATTGCTACTGATTGGGGAAGGCCAAGAACCTGGTCAATGTCAGGGACAGCTGGACATGGGCAGGCACACCCCAGGATGGCATTCCTCCGCTTCTGAAAGGTTTGTTCTCCAGACCTGAGCTTCCAAGCCTGGCTCAAGTTGACTCACCACAGAAAGGCACTGACCGTCTGTTTGCTTTCCGGTCTGGCTCTGGTTGGCTCAGCTAGGGGGGCCCCCGTGACTAGAGTGGGATCATGAGCGCTTCCTGAGAGAGGGGTCAGTTTTCAGAAGGGGGTGCAGGTGGCCCTCAGGTGCCCGAGGATGAGGTCCACATTCCTTAGCCCAAAGCCAGCCCAGCCTGGCCTCACCTCCTCCAGACAGGCTTCCCGGCCACAGAGACCAGCACCTCTGCCTCCCCACTCCCCACCCCGTCTGAAGATTTCCAGGTTTCTCAGTGTCTTACCCTAGCTCAGGCTTTGGTTGAACTGCCCCTTCCCCAGGGAGCTCTGTTTCCAGAATGAGTCAGAGCGTCTTGCTCTGGCCATGGTTCACCTGTGGGTTGCTGTCATGGTCCCCATTGTAGCTGATCAATTACAGACAATTATAGTTTATCTTTGTGAAGTTAAAACATAGTACAGTGAACATCCACACCACCTTTGGATTCACCAACTGTCAATATTTTGCCCTGTTGCTTTACTGTTCCCTCTCACTCCCTCCATATATCTGTATTTTTTTTTTTAATTTTATTTATTTATTTATTTTTGGCTGTGTTGGGTCTTCGTTTCTGTGCAAGGGCTTTCTCCAGTTGTGGCAAGCGGGGGCCACTCTTCATCGCGGTGCGCGGGCCTCTCACCGTCGCGGCCTCTCTTGTTGCGGAGCACAGGCTCCAGACGCGCAGGCTCAGTAGCTGTGGCTCACGGGCCTAGTTGCTCCGCGGCATGTGGGATCCTCCCAGACCAAGGCTCGAACCCGTGTCCCCTGCATTGCAGGCGGACTCTCAACCGCTGCGCCACCAGGGAAGCCCCATATATCTGTATTTTTTAATGCACACCCTCGCTTTTTTTGTTGCCAGCTTCAGAAAGTAAGTTGCAGAGAGACACTTCATCCCTACTTTTTTTTTTGGCCGCACCATGCAGGATGCAGGATCTTAGTTCCCCTACCGGGGATCAAACCCACGCCCCCTGCAGTGGAAGCGCGGAGTCCTAACCAGTGGACCGCCAGGGAAGTCCCCACACTTCATCTCTAAATACTTCAGCACACATCTTGGAAAAACAAGAATGTTCTGTTATAAACACGTTACCATTATCACACCTAAGAAAATGAACAGTAATTCCATAGCTTCACCTATTATATTCAAAGGTCCCATTTGTCCTAAAATGCCTTTTATCACTTCTTTTTTTTTTGCAATCTGGGATTCCATCAAGGTTCACTTTTGCAACTGGTTATTAGTCTCATTCAATCTAGAACAGTCTTTGGCCTTTTTTCCCCCCTTACATTGATTTTTTTTTTTTTTAACAGTTCAGTCAAGTCACCTTATAGAATGTCCCACATTCACCTGGTTGTTCCCTCCTGGCGTTGTTCACTTTCTCCTTTATCCCCTGAGTGTCCTGTCACTTACAAGGGAAGTCTAGAGCGTGGTTAAACATTCTTGGTCAGAGGAGATCATACAAGTTTTTAATCTGTTTTCCCCGTGAGACAGTGAACTCCATGAGGGCAGGGAGAAGATCTCTCCTGTGTCCTGGATTATTCCGGTGCCCAAAACATT